TTTGTGAGGTACCAGAAAATACAAGAACAACTTCTTCTTTGTTCAAGCAACTGGCAAGAGTTTAAAACGGTTAGCAAGATCTTACTTCGATGCAGAAACAAGAACCCGACAGTATCATGATGTACAGTTCAACGAACATGTGCCGCCGCATAATAAAGCATCCACAAACACAGGCAGGTTTCAGTATTATAAAGGACAGCTGTTCTTCTATTTCTTTTATTGAGCAAAGCTGATCTTAACAACAGCTAGGACTTTGTTTGATGAAAGAAGCAAGAGCACAGTTCGGAACTGAAGCAATTGCAGGCTCATGTATGAGTACATGGTACGGCTGTTCTTCTATTAGTTTTGCATTTCAGGTTTCAGGAATCTTGGAGATTCGAGCCTGGTACTCTTTTCCGAGGTTGCCAAAACATCGCCAGGCTCGAATTTCCCCAAAGTTTGCAAAGGCTGAAATGCGAAAACCTCGCCAGGCTCCAATTTCCCCAAAATTACCAAAAATCCTGGCATCTATGGGGGCCATCAGAGAGCTTTATGGATTTTGGGGAAATTCGAGCCTGGCGGTGTTTTCGCATCCAAAGTTGCCAAAACACCGCCAGGCTCGAATTTCCCCAAAGTTTGTGAAGCTGGAAGTGCCAAAACATCGCCAGGCTCCAATTTCCACAAAATCACCAAAATCCTGGCATCTATGAGGCGTGCGGGGCCGTAGTTGCTGAGATTTTGGGAATTTTGGGGAAATTGGGGCCTGTCGATGTTTTCGCATTTCCAGCTTTGCAAACTTTGGGGAAATTGGTGCCTGGCGGTGTTTTCGCATCCGAGGCTGCCCACCTCCCATGATCCACTGTTTGCAAGAAGCAGGTTCGGGTGGATCATGGGGGGGGGGGGGGGGGGGTGAGCATATATATATATATATATATATAGATAGATAGATAGGTGATGTCGTGGAGGCGGCGGACCTGAACTGCGCAAAACGCAGTGGCAGAGTTCGGCCCCCGAACCTACATATATATATAATTAATTAGTTAATTAATTAATTAATGGTAACTTCCCAGAGGACCAACCCCTCACATGGAACTTTCAAAGTTTCTCAGAATTTACGAGGGTTTCCAGAAACGTTTGCTGATAGAGAAGTTTGTTGAACGAAAACATGCATTATATCATCGATGCTGCAACACAGGCAATCCGAAAGTCCATGAATTCCAGGCACTCGACACTTCCAAAAGTTCTACAATACCAAAACTTTTGCGAACATGTTTTGGAACGTCGGAATTCCAAACAATCCAGAAGTTTAATCGTTGTACTTGTTCGTTTCTGGGGTGATGTTTTGGAATCTTGGAGCTCCCAAAAAATCACGAAACTCTGGGGAGATGTTCTGGATTTTAGGAACTCCGCCATATCTCTGAAAGCATGGTTCCGTAGGTGTTTTGACTCTCTCACGGTCTCAGGAATCCCTGTCAAAAGCCGTCTGTTTTCATGTTGAAGTTTCATTATATTTCAAGATCAGGGTATCCAACCTAATGCATGTTCTACACTTCGTCTGATACCTACTTAATGTTCAGCATTGAATTCTGCAGCTGTGTCTAATGACTGCCTCAACAAAGAAGGAAAAGTGAATCCCTATTCGTTTTGGCAGCCGCTTAACAGCTGATGTTCACCGAAAGTTTGTCCAACATTTCATGCCTATATATCCCGCATCTAGTCGTTGGTTCATAGGTTCTTATACACGAGTAAACTCTAAAGCAACGAAGCTGTGCTGGAAATTTCGACTGGCCAAGCAGATATGACAAAGCTTTCAATTGATACGTAGTTCAAGCTTCGTAGCCGTATCAGGACCTGTCCGTTTTTGACGGGCGCGTGCTTCTGATTTGTCAAGGTTCCTTGATAACTGAAATCGAAGCTTGGACTCATTTGTGCTGGGCATATCGCATTTGTATCATTTTCCTGCTGTGCTCCCCGATTACAGATTAGGATCAGTCTTATTTACCTGCTCGTTCAATATATGAATTCAAGTTGTAAGATATGGCTATGTCTATTTCCCATTGAGACAGAAAGGACAAGCCTTCAATCAGCCTTCAACAGTTTCTCGCCTAACAAGCTGTGTTGACACAAAACTTAGTCAAGTTCTCAGTGCTATGAACTTGAGATCTACATGAGAACACACGACTGTTCGTTAATTTCGATCAAGGCAATTTAGCTGATTGCTGGTCAGTGTTCAATTAATGCTGGCATGTCGAAACAAGGAGGTGCATGTCGAGCCGTGCTTGCACAGCTCCCTGTAACAGAGGCATTGCACCGAATGTGTATAGGCATATATATATATATATATGTATATATACATATGTATGTATGTATGTATGTATGTGCGTACATAATTGTGTATGCATGTATTCCCCGTCACGATGCGCCAGAAGCGTGTAAGTGATAATCAGACGGGACTGACCCTGACTGCAGCATGCATGCTTCCTTCCGCGGTACCGAGCTCACTTCTCCAGTTGCATATGTTGCATGCATCAATTGCACATCCACCGGTGGCAGGAGCATCCACGAAGGAATTATCACCTGCCACTTCATCCACCCAGAGAGCCATGCGATGCACCAGACGTGCACGCATACCCGCCGAAAACTGTTAGCAGCGACGAAGATTAGCAGCCAGAGTCGATAAGAAGTTTATTGGACGGCGCAGCTTGCCTTCCAACCGCCGTCCAGAACCCACTCTCGGGGTGCAGCATCATGGTGCTGGTGCAGTATGCTGCAATTGCACCACGGTGTTTGTCACAGCATTGATATCAATTCGCAAGCACTTGCTGCATGCGGCTTTCAGATCCCCTGTTGTCGCACCCTTCTGCATGTGGTTCCCGATTAGCTTCCTCGTACTAGGATTGCATGAGGGCCGCTGGTGCACCCAGCAGAACGGAGAGAAAGCGAGATAGAGTGTCTGTGTGAATGTGTGTGTGTGTGTGTGTACCACCCTGAAGCCGAAGGACCTTTCGTGCATGATTCAGCAAAATGCAGCAGCGGGGCAGTGCCTGCCTGACAGTCACTGCCCAACGAAGACACTGTCAGTGCATGGTGACATCATCTGGCCTGATCAGCCAGACGTACCTGCAAAACGGCCGCCCAAAACATACCCTCAATGCTGTTGGTTTGTAGTGGCCAAAGTGCTGAGCACAGAAAAAAACCATGTTATGACCTGGGTCATATCGAGGGTCAATCCAAGTGTGTGTGTCCCGGAAATGGCACCCGGGAAGACCCAAGCGAGCCTGCGAAGTATGCTTGGCCTATCCGAGAGCAGGAACGGCATGGCTAGCGTCGACACGGGGATGAACTGGACATGTGCGGGCATTGGGGGTCGGCACTTGAATCGGGGGGTCTTTTCAGGTCTGCACACCCCACGCATGCAAGCAGGCAGGCGGGCTAGCGGGCAAACAAGCAAGTGAATTGAGCCCTGAGAACAAGGCAGGCGCAGCAAGAGAAAGTGGGACTGCATGTCCCGGTTTGCCATGCGAAGGGAAGAAAGTTTGAGCGAGGGTGCGAAAACATGCAGCTTGAAAGAGAGAGAGAGGATTTACACTTGGCTTTCCCAATGGGGGCTTGAGCAAAGAGAGAAAGAAGAAAGGCACCCGACTTCATTCGGGAGGCATCCGGGCCAACAGACGAGTGTGCGCAGTTGACAATATGGCGTTTTCCTGAATGTAGGTTTTTAAGTCACAAGGAACCGCATGTGCTTGGGTAAAGCACGAATGGGCGTAGTAGCAGCGCGAGCGGCTCAATGCAGACATGTGATGTCGCAGGGCCCGGCTGTATAGGACCGTTTAGGACTTGCATGCTGCCTCTGGCAGCCGGTGACTTGGACGTCAGCGTCCGGACCCCGAAAGGGGCTAGCCCAGTGGACGCTGACTTGTAGAGACTTTTATTCACTTCATATGGTGATTGCGCAGCAAAACTCGGAAATTCGGCCGTGGGCACTTGCGTTCGATCTGCGGTACACTGACCTCTGCACGGGCTCTGGTTAAGGTGGAACTCTTCAAGTTGCACCGCCAAGACGATTTCCAGCCTGCCACGAGGGACATCTGTGAACAGTCGTTTCCGGGCGAGTATCACGCAGCGACTGTTCTACACCTGCAGGCAGATGCAGCTGCCGATGCAGCACCGACGATAGCGAAGACATACGGCAGCTAGCTAAGGCGTCGACGGAAACCGGTCCAATATTTAAGTATGGAACACGTCGTCAATGCGATATGCTGCTTGCGCTTGCCTGCCTGCCTGCCTGCCTGCTTGCTTGCACATACTGGCACCCAGGCAAGATCACTTTCGTGGATCTAGTCGCGAGCCCAGTGCTGACAAGATGTATGGTTGGACCCAAGCACGGACAGAAGTAAGGATCCGCGAGCTAATTGTCAACATGACCCTTCTTCTGGGGAATTACCCCTCCGTATGTTGCATGATCGCAAGTGTTTGCCGTACATGGCTCTGCCTTCCTGTCCTATCCAAGGCTGGCAGTGAGAGGCTGAAGGCCGCGGGCGAGAGTGTGGGCGGGAGGGATGTGGGAAGGCTCCTTGACGAGAGCTACACGCACATGAATCTGAGAAGAGCTATCATAGCCAGCAAGGAACTAAATCGCAAAGTCTGCCGCCCAAGCCAAGCCTTCGGTCCCGTGTCAGGAGAGCTTGTCGGAGGGCAATGCCCGAAAGGAGACTCAGGCACAGGGAAGCTGAAGTTAGGGGCGCTTGGCGCGAGCTCAAGCCTTTTGGAAAAGGTGTTCCGATCTTCGCTGCAGATGTCTTGCGTCTCACATGCTTTCTGAAAGTTGAGGCTGCGATGATTCTCCGGCCAGTAAATCACTGCAAGTCCAAGTGCTTGAACAGTGTAAATCTGAATATTTGGCCTCACCTGCTTACCTGGGTAATTACTGGTAGCAAAGAGTAGCCAGCCAATTGCCCCTTCTCCAGTTTACGTCTTCACAACTGCCACAATCAGTCGATAAGCAGCCTGTTCCCAGCTGAATGGCCTTGTCGGGGTGGCTGGCCGCAGCGTTTTTGCAGCCAGCATGGTCGCAGCCTCCTCCGCGAATTGACGACGAGGACTTGGCGAAGCGACCTGCGGCCTGCGTTCGAATGCCATTCCTCGAGTTGAAGGCGCTGAGAGTCCCGAGACTGTTGACTCATCGTTGCGGCTAGCTACAAGTAGTCTGCAGGACTACTTGCGGCCAGTGGAACCAGTCCGGCGCTTCCTTGAGCACGGGGCTTCTTTCTGCGAGTTCCCGGCGGTCGACGCAAGGAATCTAAGCCGGAGACCCAGAACCCCTGCAAGGGGGCCTCTCTCTTCAGAGTTTTCGGATCCGATCACAGTGGTCTCAACTTCTCAACGGCCCACCACAACACTTTGCATGAGACTCCGGCGCCAGAGCAGTCCTGGTGGTATGTTCGGCCACATGGAAAGCACTTTCTTGTCCCATCCGTCGCCAGGGCAAGGTCCGAAGCTGTGCACCTTGATTCATGTGGGTGTTCGCAGGCCGGAAGGCATTCCGAAAGCTTGCCGCCAAGAGTGAGGGCGGGCTGGTTTTGAGAGGCTTGTTTCCCGGCTGCATTGCAAGGATTGTTAGCGCAGATCTCACGGTCAAAAGCCAGCTTCACCAATGTTGACCTGGGCTATAGTGGCTAGAGACTTGCAGGCTGCACAGGAGTACATCAGCCATACCATGCATGCCTGAAAGTTAAGTGGAGCAGCCGTGGTCCTTGCATTATTTGATGCAAACTGACAACGCGCGCTCAACGACACAGCTCCCAGGACAGAACCTTGGCTCACATCGGTGAGCTGGTCCAAAGATCGAATTCTCGAACGTTTCGGACCGCCAGCTCACGCTTCAAACTCCATGTGTATTCCAGATCATATGTCTAGACCTTGTGCTTGCTTCTGTTTCGGCAGGACAGTACTTCATACAGACAGGCAGGTTTGTTGTACTTGCACCTCAAGCGCTCTGATAAGTTATGGACCGGGAAAAGACCGCAGGTGTTCGCAAGTCCAAGTCGTTTTGCAATTCCTTTGTCCGCGCTGCCACACCTGTAGCACCGACAATTTTTTAGGGTAAATGCCAGCCCAGCCGAATGCAGTTGTCGGCCGAGATGGCGAGGAAGGCATGTAGACAAATCGGAGTCTGCAAGTGGACACCAGCAGCAACATGAAGCGGGACTTAGCATTGCGAGAAAGCTACAAATCGAAAGAACTGGAGTAGTTGAAGCAGTTCGTCTGGTGCTGCCTCTGACAGCCTGCTGGCAGCATAGCAGACCCTTGCGAAGCATCAGGTGACAACTCAGCAACACGACACCTAAACTACTCGTCAGAACCCTTGCAACCCACTCGGACCGGGCCGACATCTTACGGACTGCAATGCTTGAAGGTTTGCAAGACTGAAGCCATCATCAACGTCGCTATCGAAGTCCGCGCCAATGACACGCGAGCTCTGAAACGAGAAGACTGTGGTACCTGCTGCAAAGTTCTCGTCACGTATGAATGACTCGCCAGCTGCATGCAGCAAAGCTTTGCGAAAGGAGTGCCAAGGATACGTACGGGTTTCTTCTTGCACAGCTGCAGGCACCAGATCTCGCGGAAAGAAATGCGAGCAAACAGAGTGGCCTTGAATCCCGCGACTTCTGGGCTTCCTCAAGTGAGCGCGGAGCAAACAACAAAGAGTCAATGCCTTCGTTTTTCTGCATCATGCACCGCCTCCCTTTTCCATGCCGAACTTGAGTCCAGAACCGAAGGGCCAGTCGTAGACGCAAGCACGTTTTTGACTTCAATTCGCAGCGCGCCACAGGCCACCGTGGTGACGAGCACATTGTGATGGCCTGACTTCGTTTCCAAAGCTGGGGCTACGAACCTGTCCGAAACAACAGCCCTGTTCCCCCGACGTTTTCAAAAAAGTCATCCCATTAGCAAACGCAAGCGCTAAGCGAGAGTCTGCGTGAGCCCTCCGGAAGGCACGGGCCGCTGGGATCGACCAGAAGCCACCCCAGAGGTCCTGCTCGAGGACTTGCCACGAGGGGAACTGAAGGCTCCGTCAGAGACTTCCCAGAATCCTAGAAATCAGAGGCACTAATGACACCAACATCGGAAGCACTCACTCCGGAGATGGTAGTGTGCGAGTACTGCGACGCTGCATGGTGCACTGGCAGGACTTCTTCCGGTCTGCGAACCCTGCCAGCACCAGCAAAGGCTCAGGTATCAACGCAGAAAGACTGCTTTCCCTTTTTCAGGCAAATGGAGGTTTACGGGATTGCGACGGCTGCGCTTGTGAAAACTCTTTGTCTTCCTCGCGAAGATTGACAAGTGGGAATACTGGGAGCCCAAACATTCACCGAGACATGAAGACCGCCATATCCACCAGCTCCTGGCATCGATGCACATGCTACATGCCTGACAACTCAGGAACCAAACAGCGAAGAACTTGGTTGCAAAAGGCAAGAAAGCTGGCATCTTTGTGGACTGCATCGTGTGTAATATGTGTGACATGCAACTGCAGCCAGCTGTCGGGAGTCAGTGAAAGAGCCTGCGGTTTCTATTGCTTGGTTTGCAGGCTACTCCCACCGCTTAGTCTCAGAAGCCTTCTGGGGACCAGAGGCGTGGAAGCCACGCTGAGTATCACTTTGCTAGATATTCTCGAACTTGCCGGACCGTGTATCGACAAGCTTCCGCAGGGAGAGTGCTCTCCGTCCACGGTCGCCAGCTGGCATTGTAACGGCAGCGCCGCCAAGGAGATCAGCCCAAAGATACTGGCAACTCGTCGGTGCACGGAAAGTGGCTTCGGCTTCTAGACTCTCTTTGATAAGGAAGTCGCTGGCGCCCAGTCCCGGAGTGAATTTGCTGCTCTTGTGAGCTGAGGCAGATTTCGACCTGAGGCCGACGGTGCAGATTGGGATGTCGGAGGCTTCCGGCACGCAGCTGCACGTACACGAGGCGGCCCTGTGTGGTTGCGCAGAGCACGTGGGAGTTGAACTGCGGATGAGCACCATGAGACACAGAGCAGGTCTCTTCGAATCGAAGATAAGATCGACCGCGACATGAACTTATCGTGCTAGCGTACCTGAGTAGGAGCAGCAGTTTGATACAGTGTACTTCGTTCGCGCCGTTGTTATCAGGAGACCTGGCTCGCCGTCCTGCATGGACGCAAGGCCGCCCGGACCCGGAGCGGTTTCTGGTTGCATCGTGACGGTTTAGGAGTCCAGGCGCAAGGGTCGTCCAAGAGTCTTGCAGTCCATGTCAGGCGTGGTGGATCGCTCCTGAAGAACCATCGGATGAGATTCTCCGATGCTCGGCCCAGAAGAAGCTGCTGCCGGCTTTGCCACTGTTGCGATGACGTTCCACCTATGCTAGATGGCCAAGGTAGGTTGCTTGACACCATGTAATCAGATGAATTGTTGTTGATGGAAGGCGAAGAGCATGCCAACGCTCGTCACCCCTGCCAATGGCTCGAGGAGAGTCGATGACCGCCTTGCGGTTCATCAGCATACTGTAACTGTATAAATTCATCTTCCGAGTCCTAGGTGTACTGGTAGGTCGCAAACTCTGTGTCGCAAAAAGCCGCTTTCAAGAGAATCCATGGCCCTGGCAGGAGAGTCCTCCGGTTGGGCTTCGGTTTTGCGTACAGCAGCCCGGCGAGGTCGTCTACTTTGGGCCGAGGTCGGAGCGAAGGAGCGCAGAAATCCATGATACGAGCATCAAGCTTAAAGGACAGGGGGTGCAAAAGTAGTATTACCCCCACAAGACTTCGTCAGAAAACCCACACACACACACAGACACACACTTGGATGCTTCCCTGCAGGCTCCATGCTACCTGCAACCTGGATCCTTTCGTCTTCGGCATTGGCGCACAGGGCCGCCTCCCGAAGATGACGGCCCTGGAGCCCTGCGGAACAGTGTCGTCTGTCTAGTGACTTTCAGCCCCTGCCATCGACTTCTGAGCTGCGAGTGCAGCTCTTTTTGCTTCAGTTTGGTCTTGTTATCAACATGTATCAACTACTGCACGGAGGAGCATAGTGTCTTCGAATCTTTTCGCTTTTGTTTGGGCCAGCATCTCTGCTGGCCGCGGGCCGCACTCTGGCCGTTCTCTTCCTCGAAAAGCTCCCATTCTGTGCCACAACCTCCAAAGGTTCTCCCTTCGACACCTTGCATTGCTGCCAGCACTCAGTTACTTCCCAGCCTTTTTGGTGTGTCCCCAGTACATGGGCCACCTGTGAGAAGGTGAGACATGGCATGTCGTTCAAAAAGCTTTTGGCAATTGAGGGGCCAGACTTCAAATGATTTCGAGAAAATGATGAAAGCGAGTTCATGTGATTACTATGTTCCACGCCTCGTTATCTGAATGCACAAGCTGCCGAGTCTCTGCATGCGTGCAGCTTCCCCATTTGTTGACAGCCGTTACTACCGCACCGCGACAGCGGTCCGGGAGTGTGAAGCAAAAGTTCAGTTCCGCTTAATCACAGCCAGAGGCCTGCAGCCATTGTTATGCCGTTATGTGGAAGTTCAATTCAGAAACCAGGGCAATCGAATAGAAGCAGTGGTTTAAATGTGGTGGGAGATTTCGAACAGTTCTCTGGTAACTTCAAGACCTCCCGACCGCGGGGCAAACTCCTCCTCAAAGGCGACACGGGCTCTTGCGGGACATCGGGTGAGGGTTGGCAAGTCTCCCCTCGGACCATTTCGGTGAGAGGGGTTTTAAAGTCTAGAGGCAAGCGCACCCTGCATGTCTTGCATGAGTATGGTGGCATAGCATAGGACAGATGGCTGTGGCAGACCTTTGCACATCTACTTGCTTGGGCCTCCGTGAGATTCTACCTTGCGCCCAAACGAGAAGCTTATCGTGCAGTCCAGGAGCGTGCGGTGCATCGCGGACAAACTGGTCTCGCAAAGGAGTACTTGGCACCCTGGCACAGAGAGAATATAGCTTCGGCTCTGAGGATTTCATCTCCAAGGCAAATGTCCAGGCGGGGAACAGCTGCCATCGTGACTTGCGAGCTGGTAAAGAAATCGCCCGATATCGGCCTAGTAAAATGCCGCCAGTGCTGTGACCGGGTGAGACACAAACTTAGGCACAGAAGCGGCAGCTTTCGCCTACGCAGCTTCACAAGGGGCTGAGCCATGCGACCGAGCCTCTCGACCTGCAGCCCAGCTCCGCGAGAGCTACACCTGTCAATGTTCGCGAGAAGTCATGAAACCCTTCCCTCCCCCTCGGTTCCAGCCTTCGTGAAAGAGAGCCGTCCTTCCCCGAAAACACACAAATCATCAGCGAGTAGTACCCAGCAGTAACAGCAGACATTAGGAGCTGTTGCGGCCTGAGGCGAAGTGAAGAAGTAGTATTGTCCGACTTGAGAGTTGTGAGAGAGGCATTTGCGATCTTGGCAGAAACATTCCAAGTCGGCTTTAGGGTTAGGTTCGTTCCTGTTCAACTTGGAGATCCATGAGTCCAGCTGTAATGGCCTGTTGCGAGTTTTGGTTGCGCACCTTGTATACACCAGGAAATGCTTCAGTTCTGTACAGTCATACAAAAGGTACGGCTACACCTCTATGGTGGCGCTCCTCGCCGATATGACACTTGCCCCAAGCAAGAATCGGGGTTGATCAATGGCGTCCGGTGCGGGACGCATTGGCGTGTCGCGCAGCGGTCAGGAGTTGACGGCACATTGCAGTGGACGTTTTGCCAGAACACTAGTATGACATACAGTCACAGACAGCTCCGAACATCATCTGCGTGCACAAACGTTAAGGCTCAGCAGCTAAGGCGTGCCGATTTGCAAGCACCTCTGGAGGCTTGGCATTGCAACTTGCCCGCCTCTGCCATTTGAGAATCCGAGAGTGAAGCTGCCGTGCTGCAACCACCCAATTTGCATGATTTCATGGGAAGCTTTCTTTTCGCTAGGATGGTAAGCCGCCGCTTCACAGTGCAGCTGAGCATCGTGGCAAGCACCCAGCACCCGAAATCTCTTGTGGCTTTGACGGGTTGGTTCGCTTAGGTCTCGCGGGGACACTTAGGACCGTCCCGCATGAACTACAGAACCAGTGCCCTGAGGAACGGTCAGCTGGAGGTTGCGCCGGTGCCCCAGCTAGCAGCTAGAGCTCTAGGAGAGAGCGCTTTAGGCCCCAAGAGACTTAAGAGTTCAACGGCACTTCACCCAAAAAAACCCAGCGCCTGAAGGCAACTGCTGCTGGAGCGCCGGGCCGACGTTCGCACGCCGCTCGGTCCGGACATTAACCGCCTGCAGAGTCTGCCTCATGGGATGTGAAAGTCTGGAAGACTGGACCTTCCAGTCCTCGAGATAGCAAAGTTGTAAAGTGTATGAAGCTAGTGTAGCCCCAAAGGTCTGCATGCTTCTGACCTTTCTGATGTTGCTGTCTTGCCTTGGCTTTGACTTTGATTGATCCTTCCGGAGGCGAGATGCGACGGGCAAGCAGCCACTGCATCATGCAGCCTACAATGATGCAGGTCCAGTGGTCGACCTGCTGCCACGAGGTTGCAACATGTCATTGCTGTTCAAGCATGAAGCTCACGACCCCGATCGGTGCGTGCTTTCCCGGCTGCTTCATGCTCAGTTCCTGTTCCTCTTCGAAACACTCCTACGTCCCAGGATCCAGAGGCGTGCGTCCTTAAAGACTCTCGACGAGCAGCTTGGAAAGCCTTGGAAAGCTCTACTCGCATGGATTATGCACTTTCCTCTGCTCGTTTAGAGAGATCTGGGTCATGCTGAATGCAGCGCGGTTGTGACATAGACAGCATTTCGTGGCGTCTACGCCAAATAGCCTGACAGCATCTGACAGCAAAGCTGCAAATCACAGCTGCCAGAACATCGCGAGCTTTCCTAAATCATTTAGGACGACTATTCAGGCCTCTTAAAATATTTTGGTCTGTGCATCAATACTAAGGGCCAGTTCCACTTGCCACTTCTAGCTTGATGTTCTTGCATCAAGATGCTTCAGGCGACCAAGCGACCTTCTATCTTCGAAGAATGCGAGCAGCTTCAGAGCAAATCTCTACACTGCACACATGACAATCGTTGACAAGCTGGATCGCAGATAAACGTCTGGACTCAACAAGAGCTTCCCGTGCTCATGTGCACGAGCGAAACGGATCGAAACGGCAACCTGTCTAACGTTTTGCTATCTCGCATGCTGTGCTGCAGTGCATCGGCGTTGTCTGCGCTAAGGCGGGGCCTGGCCCCTTTCGGCTCTGCGGCAGACGGTGGCTACCCTGCCCTGTATCTTGGCGCTTTGGGAGAGAAGGTTCTTAGCCTGGTAGGCAGATGTGGCCAGTGCAAGACTGTGACACTGGCACCGAAGGATGCCGTGACCCGGTCACGAAGCTGTTGCGTCGGTACTCCGCTGCGAGACCATTTAATCCACCGTGCAGAGGCTGGAAGCCCTTCTGCGCCGCCATTCGCCAAAGTCAGCGAAAGGCTCGGGTATTGTTCCAGTTCCATTTGGGGAACATTGACAGGATGGCTGGGAACTGCATCGGCAGCTGAGTGGTTGTGAGCTTCCGTGTGCATGTGTGCCTGCACTTGATGCCTCTTCTTTGTCGCGTCACGCGTCCGACTGCCAGGCTACGAGAGTGCCGCCATCCATGCGGCTAGCAAAGGGCATCTCCCCGTGCTGAAGAAGCCGCTTGCTGGATCTTGCTCCGAGAGTTTGGAAGTCCGGATCATAACCCCAGTTTCCCAAGCAAGTTGTGAGACAACTCGCAGTCGTGAGGTTGCCCTTCAGTATGAATCAGTAGTACAGTATCAGTACGTGGCATTTAGCGTTTCAGCGCCCCAAGGCTCCTGGAGTGGAGGGTGGATTTGACTCGCCGTGCCGGAGGAAGACAGCTCGCAACTTCCACGCAAGAGCGCAGTTCTTGTCTGCAGGGGCAGCATCCTGGGCTCACGATACCGTGCATCTGTGGGGCTCTACTTACCGGGAGCCCTCCTGAAAATGCATCGAGCTTCCATGTTGGATGCTGGCCCTTGCAAACACAAAGGCCGACCACGCGGAGTTCTACCATCACACATCCGTCGCCAGCTCAGAGCACATCAGGCGGACAGAGACAGACGGACAGATGAAGGCAGGCGTGGAGACTGAGAGATAAACAGACAGTCACACAGAGACATAGTGCGCACATGCGCCTCTTCCTCTAAATATCTCTCAGTCTCTGTGTTGCCGCAAGTTTCAAGTCTCAATGTATGCCAAATACATTCGAGGTTCACTGTCGACGACATTTGAGCTGCAAAGTGTTAGGCCGCAAGCATTGTCTGCACCGACAGAGATCCTACTCAGAAGTCTGCCCCCTGTTGGACTGCGGCTTCAAGACTTGTTGCGGAAGAGCGGCTGGACTAGGCTTGAATCCTGCAGCCTCCGAGTTAAGTTGTGCTTTCTGTCAAAATGAGGTCGCTCGGTTCCTACGCAGCTTGGAGGACTGCCGTGGTTGCAAGTCTTGTCTTCCGAGACCAGCAATCTTGCGAAGGAGCCCTCAAGGCCTTCCCGGAAGGCAGGCAAAGGCCAGGCAGGACGAAGTGAGCTCTGAGGAAGTTTCCAGTCTCCAAGCTTTGCAGAGCATCGTAGGCTCATAGGCGATTCATAGGTCTTTCCTGTGCCTCAGCAATAACTTGCTCGAAGCTGCACTGCCGTTGCATTGCTTTTCCCTGAGCTTCTTAGAGAGGCGCTTCCGTTTCGCATCTATTCCGTGCCGCAAAGTCGGCGGCCAAAGAGCCCGAAAGCGTCGACGTGCCTGCAGCGAGTTGCCGCGGAGCGCTTGTTGAAACTCTGCCAAGTCCTTCAGGGGCTTTAGAATGTGGGATGAAGGCAGGTGGGATTAACGATCTCATGCAAAGACCCTTCAACCCCACCTCCCTGCCACTTGTTGAGCCCTTCGAGTCCTTTGGAGGCTTCGTTTTTCCATTGGCCCAGCGCCTTTGCTCTCGGCAGGCGATCAACAAGTCCCTGTTTACCCTCGGACAGGCGCCGACATGCAGGAGCCAGAGATTCCCAGTCCTAGCAGTGATGAAAGACGAAGCAGATTGCGTAATCGCACGACCTGCTACTTGTATTCGTAAGCTGTCGAGGCCCGCGGCTTGCAGCTAGACACCCCGTATCTGGTAGCACATCTCGACGGGTGCCGCTGTGCCTCGCAGTGGGCCAGGTGATTTCGCAACTTTCCCAAGGCAAGGCCGAGAGGCCTCGGCCTTGCCGCAGCTTTTCTTTCTGCACCTTAGATCTGTGCATGTCTGTTGCATGTTGTGTGTGCATGTGCAGTGTGCATACATATTACATATGTATATGTATATACATATATACATATATTACATAATATATATATATATATATGTACATATATACACATGTGATTTTTGTATTGTGTATGTTGATTCCGAGATGGGATCAGGCCAGATGGTCATGCGACATCATGGGTCTGCCATAATTTGTGAGTTTCTCGGGCTTGAGCTTCGATTCTTTCCCGAATCAGCCGCTGCTAGTCTCGAAGTCCATCTGGTAGAGCATGCTTTTTCGGCGAAAGAGCCGCGTTCCGAGCGGACCAGGCATATACCGTACAGGAACTCCAAGCTGACGCAGCTGCTTCAGGAGTTACACGGGTTGGGCGGGTGTACGGGTGTATGGTCGTAGATGGTCATGCGGACCGATGATTTGGGCAATAAGCTTGGCTTGCAAGCTAATTGCAAAAGCACGTGTTGCACTCGACAACATCGGACGAGGACAGCTTCGGCGGCTCGGCTCTCTGCCTCATGGTTCCTTGCCCAGCCTGGCTTGATCGTTTGCAAGACAATGCAGCGGACGCTCGTTAGAAAAGGCAGTTGGCCAAGGAAATTGCTCGGATGTCGTGTGCGTGCGGACTTCATGGGAGCTAGCAAAGTCGTAAAGTTCAGAGTCTTGCAGCTGCACTCTGTTGCACCTGCAACATTCCTCGAAACTTTCCTCGCTGAACCTAAACTTGGCCAGGTCACTTGCATCTCGCCCGCTGCGGCTTTCGCAGAGGAGTCAGTGAACTCGTTGAACTACGCGCAGAAGGCCGCCGCCGGCCAGAGGGTCAAGCGGGAACTTTGCGCACGATCGCCCGCTTCCTGGAGCTGTAGTTTGCGTGGGCCGGCCCTGCCATGAATCTCAGGCTGAGAGTAAAAGCAATCCGGGGCCCAAGCCCAAGTTCTTCTCAGTGCATCTAGCAGTCCGAACAACGCCTGAGTAGGCAATACATGCACCATATCAAATATCTGCCCCCATCCTTTCCTAATCCTGAGCGCAACAACAGCAGGCGATGAACATCCAAAATACTCCGATCCTGCAGCTGGATGCTGCAGCCCCAGCTGCAACAGCGTGGAAGGTTGAGGTCATGTTTGCGGTTGCACGGTTCCGTCCCCATGTCTCCGAGGAGCATCAGCGTGTCTTGCAAGAGCTCCGGTCAGAGAATGCAAATCTCCGGCTGCCTGGATGCAGTGAGTTGAGCTTTCATGGTCTTACGCGAAACGAGCCGAGCACTGCATTAATCCACCTTTGGGGGGGGGGGGGGATTGAGGATCCTAAATATACATACATGGTCGTCCCTGCCTCATCAGGTCTGTTCGTGCTTCATGAGCATGACTGCTTCGGCTGACATGTGTGTATACATATGTATATGTATATATATATATATATATATATATATATATATATATATATATGCTCGCCCCCCCCCCAAGATCTACGTCTGCAGGTTTTCGGAGTCTGGATTTCCTGATTTCCGGCTTTCTGCAGTACGTAGGTTTCCAGATTCCAGATTTGCATGCACTATGTTTCCAGAGATTCCAGATTTCCAGATTTGCTCACCCTAAGGTTTCCAGAAATCTGGAATCTGGAAACTTAGAGCCTGCAAATCTGGAAATCTGGAATCTGGAATCTTAGAGCCTGCAAATCTGGAAATCTGGAATCTTAGAGCCTGCAAATCTGGAATCTGGAAACTTATCCTGCAAATCTGGAATCTGGAAACTCTAGGACGGGTAGAAACATGAGCATCAGCCGTGGCCTCATGAACATCAGTCGGCTTCGGGGCGGGTCCTAAAACCAAAACCAACTGGTCAGAAAGCGTCTTTGAGATTGATCATGGTCAAAAAGAAGTGAATTTGCCTAATGTACCACTCAACAACGAGGTCATGGGGTAGCGGCTCCAGTTATTGCACTGCCATGCAGCACCGCTGATGCTCATGATGCGCGTGTCTTGTCCGCCCCCAAACCTGCTGATGCTGGTCCTAAAACCAAAACCGCCTGGTCCGTCTCGTTCTCCCACAGCCGAAATCTTGAGCCAGTGAGTGTTTATGAGAGGGTCTAGTGAAGAGGGACATGCGATATGTGATGGGTGCGCAGCTGTGCACAATCAAGTGTGACTCCAAGCCTATTGAAATCTTGCCGCACACGAAGCCATGGAAATCCACCCGGACGAGGTGCGGTTCAACCGCACAAAACATGTAATGCTCAAAAAAATCAACTTTTCCAACCCTTGAAACGCACGAAACACTGCTATGCTCAAAAAACTCCAAACTTTTAAGGAATCTGCCCCCGGCCTGGCCACAGATGCCAGAATTTTAGAATTTTGGGGATTTTTTTGAGCAGTACAGTGTTTCGTGAGTTTCAGGGCTGGAAATTTTGGAACTTTTTGAGCATCACAGTGTTTTCTGATGTCCAGGACAGGATATATTGCATTACAAGATAATTGTGTGCTTTCAACCGTTGTCAAGGACTGGAAGTAATGATTTATGTGTCTTCTGGAACAAAACGGTTTTCATTACTCTTTTTTGGTAAGTATGAAAAAGACCTAGTCGTTGCATAGTTTATTTCATGTATGTTTTCGGAGGTTGGTAGATCTATGGCACCAGCAGCGCTGGCTCCAGTACTTGCGCTTTCTCGAAAATGGTTTTGGCCATTCTTCGGCAAGCTGCACCGCCTACAGATCCAACACTGTAGCAGCGCAAGCCTATCTAGAACTTAATTCATTTCATGTTGAAGACTGTGGGAAACTGTTTGCATCTTGCTATCATCAGAAACAATGGAGACTTCCTATTCGGTTTCCTATGAGACATCCTCATACCTATCAAGCAAGAGACATGAAGATTCCTGCTAACCCAGAAGAAACTTCTACGATGTCACCTGTAGTCTTTGAAGACTGAAGAGAGTTCCTTTTCATGTTGTGATACGAACTATGACAGCGTTTAAACCACAGTCACAGACAGAAGGACCGGTATCGCTTTATCAGGATGTGAAGGAGGTGTAGAAACCGATACAAGTCTTACGCCTCTTGCCCCTTTAATAAAAGATACCACTAAGCAAGCTTCTCTTTGTTTCCTGATCACATCTGGGGAGTGTCGCTTGAAGATTGAAGAGAGCTACTTTTTTCCGCTACGTTCTATGACAGCAATTAGAGAAACAGCCATGGACATAGCGATCGGCATCTTCTCCGGGGTATAGGACAGCATCAATAACAGTTAACCGAATGAAAACTCATGGCCCAAATGAGTACCCTCAAAAATAGATAGCGATTGCTATGCACATGGCTGCCTTTAATATCGACTCACAACATAAAGAGGAGTTTTCTTCCATGAAGTGCCATTTTACTTTGTTTTACAAGGTTAAGGAGCCCCTGCCTTGTGATTGATACGTATCAATGCAGCCAGTCGTAGTTAGTCCTGCTTCATGTTTGGAAGGTTGCAAGAGCTCTCTTACTTCTTGCTGCAGACGAGCCTTCTTGTGCGCCCGCATATGCACATGAGCTTTCCAACTCCAGGGGAGCTTTCCCATTTTTTATGAGGCAAAGAACAACTATTGGAGTATTGCTTCAAAAATAATTGCGCCCGTATATTCGACTTCCTCCATGTATAACGGACAGGACATGAAAGGAGCTCTTTGTGTTTCGTAACTCATAAATCAAATGCTAGAGCTATTAGGCCGCATCAGAATCGGACGCTCACGAGCAGCGGGAAAGAGATGGCCCACGCACACAGACGTCTTCGTAAGAGAGACAATAGTATTTATATTATTAGAGGAATGTCGTTAAGTAACACACCATAAAACGCAAAAAACACAAGGTTTTTTAGTACTACCTGAACAAAAATAGCACGCCCTCCAGCATTTCAGCTTCTCCAACATATAAACTACCATAAATCTGCTGCCGAGATTCGGCGCCAGACTTTTACACATATCAAGCCCGCGACTTGTAGCAGCACTTTTTGCATGCACATGGAGTAAAGCACGATTGTATCGGAATTTACGGTGTTATCGGCATATATGAGTAGTCGACCAATGTAGAGAAGCAACCTGTGGAATTGTGTGGAAGAGGCGGATGTAGATCTTGGGGGGGTGACCATATATATATATATATATATATATTATAGGTAGATAGTTATAGATATATACATAATATAGATATAGATATAGATATAGATATAGATATAGGTATATATAGGTAGACAGATAGATAGATATCGATATACACGACATACACATACACATCTTGCAAACGAGCGGTGCGAAAGGCGAGAGCTCGAAGGTTATCGCCACCGCTACGGGGTCTGGTGCTTAGAGGGAATGCAGGAATGAGCAAGCAGTCTGTTCTTCGTGTGGAGAGCACCTGCGACCTTGCGAACATGGCTGGGACCTGTTTGCGTGTTCCTCAGAACCACTAGACGGCTGACGTAAGAAAAAATCGGAGTGCCTCAAGGCTATGCTCACGGGAAATTGCTCAAGGATGAGCTGTTGGGAAATTTCACTTGGTCACAAACATAGAGGTCTTGATGTTTCGGATCTCGTAGTGGCAGGTTCCCCCGAGCTGAAGTGCTAAATGCCACAGAAGTGTCTGCACGAGGACCTGTCGTCCCGCGGTTACCTTTCGGACAACGTCGGCACGGTGCCATGCTTAGTATCAGTCGAGCTCGGCATCATTGGTATTGTGGTAAGGTCCCATATCATGTGTAGTCTACAAAGAAGTGTTTGGTGTCGGGCCTCAGGGCGCGAGACTGTCGCTTGTGACGTGTCGTATGGGCAAGCTGCAAACCATGAGGTTTCATCATCCACAATCAATGAATTTTGTCCAGTGTTGAGCAGCGGATGTCAACACGAAACGTTCGGCAAGCAGCCACGTTTTGGGCTTTGTCGTCAGGCAATATTGAGGGAGTCTCCGAGGAAAACAGCAACAGTTAAAGCAAACAATCATGCTGATCCGAGATCTTGCGAGCTGCCACAGGGGCTAGACCTAGTCAAGTATTGATGCTTCGTAGTGGGAAGTGCAATTTAGCGCTCCTATCCTTGGTGGCTACATAGTGGCTTGCCGTAACCTTCCTCAGGAGCTCCCGGCCGAGTCACCCAGCGAGACCTCTTCTCCTCAAGGCTCTACGGGCCTTGCCCGGATCGGAGGGTGCCTAGTCAGTTTGAGGGCACTTGCCGATGCGGAGCAGGTTTGGCTTGGGTTTCCAGCGCCGTGGTCGCGTTTTTTGTGCAGCCTCGTCGCCATGAGCCCTTTAACCAGCCCTAATCAGTGTTGGAGACTTGTCAGCCACCAGACCTGTCCATCCCTGGACGCAGAACCGAAGCGGGAGCTGGCTTCACGTGGCCACAGCCTTCCGCCGGACTTCTCCCCCCAGGCAGGAAACTATGACAGGAGCTCCATCTACGCATCACAAGCACTTGTTGACAGGTACCGAGACCTCCAGCACCTGCACCTGCAAGCAGCTGGCCCAGCAGTTACTTCAGCCTCAACCCTTTAGTTCCGGTTTTCCCTGTTGCAGCGCGACCCAAGCAGGATCTCGCCTGTTACATGAATCAGAATATACTAGAATCAATACATCGCGGTAGGTGCAAACTTGATGAGGCTGGTGAAAAAAACCATAGCACAGTGCGACATGCGGCATGAATCCTGCTTCGTTGCTCCGGCTGGCCGTCGGCCGAATTTTTTGTCGCTGCTGGCAGGCACCAATCTGCCGTCGCCCGTCTCGGCACGCAGCGGCTCTGGCGGGACGCGGGAGGCAAGTTCTTACGGCCTGACGAGCTTTGCAGGTTTCTTACGCAGTCTGGACGGAGAAGTTGTCATGGCATTGAGAACATTCAGCGACCAGACAATCCCTGCATTTGCTGAGAAGGCCATCTGCCACCTGCAGCCGCTTTGCGCTATTTGTTGGGGGCACACATGTACGTAATGACATTGGCGTGTACATATGTGTACTTCCGCGAAAGAACCGGGATCTCGGAGGCTTAGTTTGCATCATTGAAGCCGAATCTTTCGGGCCATGTCAGAGTCAGTAGTCCACGCATCCGGAACTACGGGCCTACGCGCGCCGCGCAAGCCCAGCTCTTTGCACAGAGATGTCTGATCTGCTGCGGTTCCTGGAAAAGGGTGAGAAAGATGCTGCCGATGCCTCAGCAATCCTCAGCAGTGTCTGGGTGATTGAGATGAATGAAGCTGACAGCTCCTCCGTCGAGCTGTCGATCCGATGGTTTGCTTGAGTGCATCAGCGCGACGGTTCGGTATACCTTTATGGCAGGTTTATGGTAGTGCTGCAGCCCAGGGAGGGCTTACCTGGCCTTCTGCTGCTCATTCCAAGCCGCGGGATGCCCTAAAGCTGTCAGGACTCCCGCGCTCTCTACACCGTTTAAACTCGAAAGGCTAGGCGGAGTCCATGTGGGTACTCTCCGGTTCAGAAGTCTCTGGCACCGTGCTGTTTTGCGTACATGTAACATGCCTACTTACTGTGGGCATGCGAAACGCTTTGCACTTTGTGAGCATGCGTTCGGGTCGCTTATGCTACGAAATCAACTGCTGCTCATTGCATTGCTGGATGCTCGAATGGCTTTAGTTGCATGTGCATGCGACTTCGGTGCATAGCTTTCACTGGCTGGCCGAGGCCAAGCACCAAAGCAGTGCTCACGCCATCGTCAGCTGCGCCCTCCTGTATGTTGCCATGTCCACTGTGGGAATCCGCGCCTTGGCCGAGAATCGGGTGCAGCTTTTGAAGCAGGGGCCGGAGAGCTTAATGGCTTCGAGGCAGGTTTGAGGCTTGGCTTGCTCGACAACAGGCTACGTAGTGCAACTTGGTGCGAGCTCCACCCCGAACATTCCATGCTATCGCTTAGACTTGTTGGAGACGACAGATGCTTAACTTTAACGATGTTTAGCAACTGATGGGTTGTCGCTTCTGAAACGAAACTTCACAAAAACTCTCCGCCTTTTCAACCAACATGCATGCTGAGCAACTTAGTCGTGGACTACTTTCTTCCTGGCGTGGACGACAAGCTGCCACCATCAAGATGGGCTGTCTGGCTACTTCTGGGGTACTGGAGCTCCTCGGGCAGAGTGTGCCGGGTGGATTTCTTGCCTCATGGGCTCAGTATCAGGACGGTTGCAGATGTAGGCGCCGCATGCAGCAAGTCAACATAGAAGCTGAAAGGTCTACTATCTCTGCATTTTGTGAGGACCAGGAGTCTAAAGTGACAGCTCGGGTGCAGCTGGAAATCTGTGCCTGGGATTGCTGGGATGTCGACTGTTCCAATTGGCCACTGTTGCTACCCGAAGGGCAATTGTACAGACATGCCCAGTCCACAAAGCCACAGTCCCAAGACAGACCATGTCAGGCCCACGCGGCAAGTGATTTCGGCTAAGGCTGGCTGGTCCTCCTTCGACTTCGTGGCATGTCAGCACTTGCGAAGTGACGCTGAAGACAGGGTTACCTCTGCTTTGAGCGCAAAATGGAAGCTCTCTCGAGAGTAGAAGCGGATGATGCCAAGTGTCATTCATTTCAGCAACCAGCGATTCTCAGAGATAGATACTTCGACACTGAAGCACTGCCATTAAACTTCATCGGATACTGCCGCTACTTACACAAGTCTCGGAAAGCGTCAGTGGAGCCAAGGTTGCGAAACCGCAAGCGTAGCCGGGGACATTTACCAGCTGCTCATGCCGGCAAAAGTGTCGGTTTATGTGGGTATAACTTTGTAACTGTCTCCACTGCTTTCCCATGAACGTTCATGAAAAGCAAGGTCTGCGGGTAGGCTTGACGCCGTGGGTGATCCGCAAGCCTGCAAACCGGCATAGCTGTGCTTTGCCGTTTTGTATGCATAGACCCACCGCGCATGTCACACGAGTGCCGACCAAACCGAGGCTTATGTTTTCCTGCAACTTTGCCATGCCTGCCGCGGCACTCGTTCCTGGGAGCAAGTAGCAGATCTGCACTACCTCTTAAACCAGTCTCAAATCCGAGAGAAACCATGAAAGCATGTGGAGGTTGCTTAAACGACGGTAGGCGCTAGACACGACTGGGGCACATTATGGAGGCGAGAAGAGTACAAGCTCTAACGACGCCACTATCATCTATCATCATCTTTTTCAAAAGGGGTGCGTCATCTGTTCTTTGCTTTCTAGCCGGAGCACACGGGCAGAGGCCGGCATTGTCGCATCTGCGATGAGTTCTGCACGGGTTTCTCCTCGGGGTCAGCCTCACACAGAGGCTATTTTCCTGCACAACCCGGTCCTGCTGTGCGCACAAGGCAAGGCGAGTAGAAGATGGCACAGCATTCTCAGAGAGCGGATTGATTGGAGCCTAGAGCTGGTGCTTGAGAGTCCGCGGACGTGGTCCAGAGTCCAGAGGAAGAAGCAAGAAGACTGAGCGCAACTCTCGATCGACCGTGCTGAGCGACTCATCGAGAGAATGTGGGGTCGCGGCCAAGACCCCGAAACATCAGTGATGAAGAGGTCCGCCGGTCGTTGTTTTGCAGAAATTCTTGCCTGGGCTGTACGGTGTATCTCAGATTCCGGAGTTGGCAGCACGCTCCACGTAGATGGCTCGCAGTTCGCGACGCTTGTGGTGTTCTGTCGTGGCAGGTTCGAGGCTTAAGGCGTTCTTGCAGTGCAAGGTTTCCCGGAGCCAAATTGAAACACCCCCTGTAAAGCCTGTGATATGTGGGATATTGTGGGATTGTGTTGGAGGTATGTTGGTGGCCATTGACCAAGTCCTCTGGTATGTCGACCTTCTTGGATCCTTGGCTTTTCGTTGATATGGCTTCGTCCGGGACAACATCCCTACAGAGCCCGTGTAACTACCAGTCTAGTTGGAGGAGATCAGCCTGGCTCGAAACTCTCGCAAGACCGCAAATCTCAGGCTATTTGCTGCTGGGAAAGCTGCCACTCAAAGTAGTCGGCTACCTTCTGTGGCCAAGTACGCCGCCTCTCGGGATGCCAAGACTTCGCGGCCAGTGTCCCATGAGCATCGCCCGATCAGCTCCAGAGGCTGTCTCGCCGCATCTCCTGCGTGCACCACCTGCTGTTTGAGCCTTTGGTCTCTGCCTCAGCTTCACCCGGGGACTCACCGCAAGCAACTTCAGGCTATCCAGTAAGCCCGCTTTAAAAGCATCTCCGATCACTACCCATACTGGCTCAGAGATACGAGCGACCAATCGGTTGTAACTAGCTGACTGGAAATTACAGAACCTTTACTTTCATGCATGCCGCTGACGAGAATTGACGCGTCACAACCTCTTTTCAGCTGAAGTGCACCTGTCGTCTCAGGTGATTCTCGTGGGCTGCCAATGCAGAAGCACCCGGGCTGCATTGCTCGGTCGAGTTAGATCGCGCTTGACCGTTTTCACGGCATTGGCTTGACGTGTTGGGCCTTTGTTGCGCCTTGGCACTGCAGCTTCGTCCGCTGCTTCAAGAGGGTTTTGAGAGCTCCTCCAGGCCTGCCAGTCGGACGGGCCTTCGTAGTCGCCTTGGCGCAGACCATATGCTGCCAGGCACTGGGAAATACTGGGATCTGGCTGAAGGTGTCTATGACTTTGCATTGGATCTTGGCACGTGCCTGGTTCGGCTTCGGATTTGGCAGATCTACGACGCCTTCGGCGATTTGTCCCTGACATCAGCAGAGACCCTTTCAACGAAGCAGAGAGATCCTCATGCTACAGTCGTGATTCTGTTGCAGGTCATCTGCCGCTTCACCACGCCACTGGAAGTTGTGGGGTCGAAGGGGGAGGTCTGTAGCTTGACAGCAAATGAAAGACTCCTGCAGCTGCCGAAAGATCCAGGCGAGGCGACCAAATTGCCACCTAGTGACTCAGTAAGTCGAACTGGACGTAGAGCGCTCGCACTGGCCTTGGCCAAATCGCCCTAATGCACCAGGCACTGTTGTTGGCTAAACTGCTAAACTGGCACGACTACGGCACGACAGCAAGGATGACATGAAATACTATAATGTGCACGACTCCACGGTTGACGTTGACCAACGACTTTCAATATGTTGTACACAATCGCGACGTGCTCCGTGAATGCATTCACGATCACGCACGCGGGATACACATGCAGCATTGAGTTCGTCCGCCATCGAATTGGACGACACCTATCCCATTCCCAGGCTATTTGAACATCAACCTTTGCTACGAATCCTTTCGAGACGTCAAGGACTGTTGTGGGGAGTGCTGACAGTTATCGAGAGTTTCTTCCAGCATTTGTCTGTCGTGGTTAGTGTATGCTCTGCCTCCCTGCAGCCCGCATGCATCCGGATCTACGACCGCGCAGCACCCATCAAGTACCTTCCCTGGATGCTCTGGAGCCTCTTCTGCAGACATTAGGAAATTTTAGGGAACTTCTTTGCAAGCCGAGTTTTCCGATGTATGCGAGGTCTTGAAGTACTTGGTGCCTGTCTACAACAGCTTGTCTGCATGTTTCCCTTCTCGCGTGCACATAGACAGACATGATTGGTCGACAGCATACGTAGAGCCGCGCGAAGCAGTCAGTTGAGTGTGTCCAACAACGAAACTGTGAGGGCCAACGCAAGGGATGGATATTAAAACATGAAAGAGTCGAGCAGCGTAGCGGCTTCACATCGAGTGCTGTCGAGTTGTTTACAGCACGGAATGTTGCAGCCGTCAAGCACGTCATCATGCACAATAACTTTGATGCTGTCGTATTGCCGCGGGGTGCTGGAACAGCAAAGTATATTGTACCGCAATGAGAAAGAATCAATCATCATCGCTGGACCCACATACTGCCACATTTAGCAATGTGGCAGAGCCGCAAAATCGCGGGTGCTCAGTGGAACCAAAATGGCTGGCAATGGTGCAGCGGACCTACCCAACCATGCCGCAGCCTGTCCTGAGGATCTGGAACGCAGGCAATTTGGTGCTTTTCCTTCTGCTGGCAGCTTGTCCGTCGCAGGAATGATGGGTTGACGTTCCTGCTGCTGGCTTGTGCGGGGTGTGTCCGTCATGTGCAGTATGTCGTCGACGGCCCGAGTTTTATGGAACTGTGGACGAGCAGTGACGAGCAATTTGCAGGGACAAACCAAGTCGGAATGGTTGGAGGGCGTAACGTTCTTGAGCTGAGGCCTACCTCATCATCCTGCCACTCCGGTGGTTCGGCCTTGTGTCGACCAGCATATCGCTTTCACTTTTTTAAACTTGGCTGCCAACGGCGCCTACGACAGACCATTACGACAAGGGATGCCGCAGATGGATGCGAAAAGTGAGCTGTCGCTTAAAACTTCCCTTCGGGGCCAGATTGTTCGCTTTACGAGTAGGGGACGTGTGCCTTCGAGCATGCTCAGACTCACGACCAGGCTCGTGGCAGCTATGCTATGGCAGCTGTGAAGCGTCAACAGCCTGCTCCTTGAGAGGTAGCGGAGCTTCTGACTGGTGACGGTCGCTTCATGTGTAGAGGTTTGTGTTGAGGCCCCAGGCTGCATGCAAAGGTTCACAGCGGGTCCACCGGGCCTAGAGTACCACCCTCACAGGTGCCAGGGTAATTTGACGCTACGCTTGCAGTGCGACAGAACTCATCGTTTTGCTTCTGCAATGTGAAAGACAGAGCAGTGCGCGGATGCAGAAGTGAGGCGGGGGTTAGGGGGCAGGGGTGGGGGGCGGGGGGCGGGGGGCGGGGGGCCGGGCGGGTGGGTGGGAAATGAACGCAAAAAGCGGTCCAAACTTTCGGACTGATAGGTGGAGTGTACTTGAGCTAACCCCCAAGACGCCTGAGCCTGTGGCTTCGGCGGATCAGAGAGCAGAAGAAGAAGGCATCAGATTTCCGGAAAGCCAAGCGGTGAAAAATGTGGAATGCAGGGTGGGAGTTGGATAGTGCAGCTGCGGCATTGGGGGTTTTGGAATTGAGCCGATTAGCAGCTTTGAAGGAGACCAGCAATGAAACCAACCGCAGAGTGTGGCAAAGCTCCAATTCCACTGCGCTGCAATTGGCTACAGTATGTCTTTGGTTTGCATGATATCCCCGAGCAAAGATGTAGCAACACTCCGCATGACAGTGCTGTAAGGCTGAGACAGCCACCGAGCTTGCCAAGGCCTGGGTGTCAAGCCATCCCGAGTTGCAGGTTTCCTACATTTAAAATTTGTATCCTTGGCTGAACGTCGCTGTTTTGGAACTGCAGTTGCTGGTGCGTGACAGGCCCAGCAGAGGTCATGGAAAGCAGTTGCTGGATCCCCGGGTCGCTGTGGCACAACCAGCAGTCACAGCGTCGTTGAAGTGGAGGCTCCCTTGCCACTGCCCATCACTGCCCCTAGGCCACCGCTCCCGAGTCGAGGCGGGGCCTGTGCTGTAGCATGCTGTAGCAGTCTCTGGCATTCTGGGGTCTGAATGCCGCTTGTAAGGCCAGGCTCCTTTCTGCGAATGCTGGTCTACTGTGGTTGGAGTAAGCCAGCAACGAAACCAACTTCCGTCCCATGTTACCTCCTCCCGGGATTGCTTCACCAGAGAAACAGACTCCGACACCATCGACGAATTTCGATGAGGTTCCACTCCTCAGAGTGCACCTCAGAGTGCAACTGCGGTGAGCTCCTCGGCAAGCCAGCGGGAACCTGCACAGGCATCGCAGCATCGGAGGGATGGAGAAAAAGAGTGGCTAGGACGGTTGAAGTTCAGAGGCTCAGGGATTGTCTTTTCTTGCCTTCCCTTGCTGGCTCTGACTTGCTACTGGTAGCAGCTAGCAGCCAGCAGTAGCGGCAAGTTGAGGGTTTGGTCTCTTGATAATTGCCGTGCTCCAGTTCAGTTTGCAGCAGCTTTGTTTCAGCACGGAAGGGGCCTCCAGTTCATGCCGTTTGCAAGTGCCAGGTCCAGTGCGTTCAATCCGACAATCCCTCAGCGTGGCACAGCCGAAGGTGGAAGTTAAGCGATTCTGTTCAGAGCATTGCAAGGCGTCATGGGCGTCGTCATTGGATCAATTAACACGTGAGGTTGAAGGTTGTCTTCTCCTATCCGGGCTGTGTCATGCTTGCCTGACATTTGCGGCTTTGTCAGTTTTGGTTGTGTCCGTGTCCAGGTGCTAGTGCTTTCAAGGCCAATGCAAAGCTGGCACAGCTAGAAAGGCGCCCGACAGTCTATCCAGCCGTCCCGAAATCTCTGCGATCTCGACTCAAACGAAACCAAAGCCATCACAGCCCGAACCGCACCACAAACCTCACAGATGCAGGCCCTCGAAGCCTGTTCGCGCGCTGCCGCCTTCTTCCCCAAACTCGGAGGCACCACGATGCATTCCACAGCTTGAGTCAATGGCACAAATAAAGCCAACCGGCAGTTGCCTACCATCATTATGGTCTTTGCTGCAGAATCGGCCGAAGAGAGTCACGGATACAGAAGATGGCAGAGATCTGGCACACCGCGCCCCCCCTTGGAAATCATCCATGCCCCTTCCCCGGCCCCACAATGCCATGAGTATTTTGGAAGTGTCACAGCAGATGTCGAAATGAGTGGAGAAGTTTGGAGTATGATGCATCGTGCCATGCTGGAGGAGTCGCGGCGCCTGGAGGGCCCGGGCTTTCCACCGACGATTTGCGCACCACCACTCTCGAAGGTACGAAGGGCAGGGGCGGTGGATATTTTCATCAGGAAGGGGCATGACGAGGCTATGGCCTCCATGCAGGGACTGGAGATCGTTTATGAATTGCGCTATGGAGGCTTTGACGCTTGGGCTTGTCCGTCCTTCGGCTATCTGCGTCGCTGTTACTCCATTCTAGTAGATTTTCGACCTGGCCACAAGGCGATTCGGAGCCATTCGCGCGATGACATCACATCGCCACTCACAGCCGAGCAGCTGGACCGACACCGCTGCTAGGGCGGCTACAGGGTGCAACGCATGGCCAGCACACAGAGTAAGCTGCAACCTGGAAAGCCGCCTCCAACCGAGCAGGAGCACCTGGATCGCGCCCACTGGAGCGAGTGGCAGATGGACTTTAGAACGCCTCGGTCTTACTGATCAGGATGAGAGGGCAGGGTCGTATAAAGCATCATCAAAAAGTGAACACTAGCCAGACAAGCACTCTAGGTTTGTGTAGTGCCGCAGCGGTCAGTGCTTTGTGCTGGTGTGCTGCCGTGATGCTCGTAGGGGTACATGTCTGCCAGGACGAAGACTCTAAGACTAAAAAACTAAACCTGAGTTCTTGGCAGGTCCACAGCCAGCAACGCGGTGAGCCGAGGTTCCAGCAGGCAGCACGACTGTTTTGGGTCCAGCCTGATGGATTTTGTGTGAAAATGAAGCGCAGGCCCACCTATCCAGAGGATGGACTTCGCCGAGCATCTCGGTGCGGCTCCGAGAAGCCGGGCGTTGCCTTTCAAAGTCTCTACAGACGCAGCACAGGTGGGGCTCCGTCCCTGCGCGTGTGTGTGTGTGTGTGTGTCTGTAAAACCCTGTCACTAAGGGAATCATAGTGTTTCAAACCGCAGGGGGGTACGGCTCTCTCATGCTACCGTACCCAACGAAGCTATGCATCAGAGAGGGAAGCCAAGCCTGATCAGCTTGGCGATTGAGATGGCAACCAGGCCAAGCCAAAAGCCTGGCATGTCGAAAGATGATTGAAGGAGTGTCAGGCAACGAGTGTAGGAATACGTGCTAACTCATGTTTGGCCTCGGTCAATCGAGAGTCCATCAAGTGTGTGTTGAAATCCCCCAGGTCGGACAGCTCTTCGACGAGTTCTTCGCTTTCCCCGGCAAGCGGGGCAGGCGCGCCTGTCCCTTCGGAACTTTGCCGGCCAGAAGCTTCGATTCCCAAATGCCCACATGCAGCTTTGATGCCCTGAACGTCTTATCGCCTTGAGTCGAAGCCAACGATGGCTCCAGAATCTTCAGGCAGCGTGAAGGCATCCGTGCATTGAACATCTGTTTCGGAGGCAGCGCTACGCCACTGGCGCAACTTCCGGAGGCCTGAGGAAGGGTCACCTGGTCACCTGTTTCTCTGGGGACTGACGAGGTCCTTGGCTGTCTCGTGATTCTAGGAACTATTGAGTGCTTCAATTCTTCGAAAGCTGCACTACTAAGAGGAGTCATTCTTAAGGAAAGGTACGACGGGCAGCCGACGGCAGGTAGCGCTCCCGGAGAGGTTTGCAAAGGTGTGGTGCCGACATGCCTAAAGGGCGGGTCTGCTGAACCTTCCTGGGAATCTCCTGAAGCCCACCTTCCATAGCCTATTCCATGGGCCCAGCCTGATCTGACCTCGCCGGCAAGCTGCACTTAGCTTGAAGAGTCCGCGAGCAGGTTGAAGAACGGCGTCTTGCAATTCGTAACTGCCCGACCGACGATTCGGATCCAGTACCTACCTCGAACAAGATACGTCTCTCATCTCCCTCTGATCCTTTTCAGGTGCCATTTCGTGATGAGATCGACCCCACAGCCAGTCGTGATGCTGATCAGGATGCAGGTTTGGTTGTGTTTCCTTTCGCCAGGCAGCTGAGTTCATCACATTCCTTCAGCCGCTGTTTGCCAGCTTATGCCAGGCGATGGAACCTCCACCGCCAGTGAGACGCCTGTGGACAAGGCAAAGGTGGTCTTCAGAATAATTCAGAATTGTGTGCATACTATACTGTACACGAAAGCACCGGAGCCTCCTCAGAGAGGTGCTTCTCCAGCATCCTCAAGCTTGGAGCATGCAGTGTTGATGTGCAGCAGGAGCTGGTCTTCAAGCTCGGAGAAAGCTTAGCTACAGCCACCCTCTCACCTGCACAAGCGACAAAGCAAAGTGACATAGTACCCAATTGCCCAATGGCTCGTTGAATTTTTGCGACCTCCTCAGCCTGAATCTGATACCTGTAACCCGATGGAGGCGGCTTTGGGGGACGACCGGTATCTTTCCGAGCTCAACCTGAAGCTGGCGCCACTCAGCTCTGTGAATTTCGCGATGGCGCAAACAATCTGGTGTAGACCTTGGGACGCTAGTCGCTAATCGGAGTAAGTAAGCGACCCTTGTCTAGGACTTTGCCTGGTCTTTGCGCAAACTGGCCGTCGCCACCATGCAAATGCATGATTGAGAGGCACTAAACAACCTCCTCCTGCTCCCACCACAACGTACTTGTAGCACCTTGGGGGAGGATGGCAATCTGTTGAAGCAATTGCGGCATTACGGTTGTGCAGTTTGTTCATTGGCGTTGCTTGACTTCCTCATGCTATGTATGTTAACTCAGGCCTAATGCTTCTGCTAAGCACCATGGCGCGTGCATCTGTTGTCTACGTGTGTTTGGGGTGTCGACCTGGCAGATTCAAGCACCCCGGCACTTGCCCTTGGCTTTATGCGGCCGAGTGCATACACGCATTTCCCTCCTCTCAAGCGTGGTCCTCGTCTGTCTTCTCATGTCACTCCTGTACTATATCTCTCAGCTCCAAATTGAATAAAGACCAGAATCATTTAAGCAATATCAGAATCCTCAAATTGGGCATAGTGGGCTTGATTTCAGTTCGAGGGTCCGAAGTCGATGGTTTGGAAAGTTACTACACTCGTCGCTCGGATGCGCTCGGCAGAGGGCTGAGCTAAAGGGGCGACTGACGTACAAGATGTGGACCGGTTCAAGAAGTGCAAGCATGTGAGAGCCGTAGCGGACAGAAGAGATGGATACTTTGATGGTAAGCTGCGAAAATGCGTGGGCAGACGCCTGGCAGAATCCAAGAACGGTCTCCTCCAGCAATGTGCCGCAGGTCCATGCAGCAGGCGACCAATGCTTTGGCTTGTGACTGATGGAGTCTGCACGAGCTCCACAGATGCTGCGCTCAGTAAAGCAGTGTGCCTTTAGACCAAGCTGAGCAGATGGTTACAGAGCTTCGCTCAGGCATTCAGGAGCTGCTAATTCGGAAGCCCCTGGTGCAGAGCATCCCGGGAAGTGCATCTTTTCTTGTTTTTTCAAGTTCAGAGGATTCCGAGTCTAGCCGGGAGAGTCCGGTAGAGGAAAGGCTAGGAAAGCTCCTTCACAAAGAACTGCAAGTAGATTGGTCGGAGGCCTGTCACATGGAATCCCAGGGAGTGCAACGGGCCAGCCTGAAGGCAACCTCCGGCGTTAGGTTTCACAGCTCTCCGCCAAAGGTGGGGACAGGAGCCCCCATCCTCTCGGCGATCTCGGCGCGTAACGACATGAACCACAAATCGTGTGACACGGAGATCGACCGATCGACCGGCGGGTCTTCGCACAATGCCGCCCAAAATGCCGAGGCGAGCGGCTCCATGCACCGGACACTCGCGGAAAAGTTCGGATGGAACTCTCCAGTAGTCGACTCTAGCAGCTAGCAGCAACAAGATCTCAATGGTTGCAAAGGCGACGTAGACTCCTGTCGCATGCCGTAGCACAGCTTTGGTTGATGTTGTGACGACCTTGGCTTGCGAGGCTACCGTTCTGAGTAGTGCAGCGACAAGACTCGGCTCAAGGACAGAGCAAGGTGTACATGCCCCATGCCTCAACGTACCGGAGGAATCTGGGGAAGAAGGAGATTAGTTCTTCGAATTTCTTCGAGTTCAGTAGGAGCAAGACAGTCTGGGCAGAGAGCGGAAAGCTTGTGCTCTTATGCTGATGCTGATACAGAAAGCCCACTCGTCGTTCAACCAAAGAAGGCTTTAATTCTGATTTACACCTTGACGCAAGCACTTGCGAGATCTTTGCTAGAGTGCTGTGTTTGCATTAATCCTGGAAGCGATTTGCATTGTCTTTGGGATTGCATAAGCAATCCAAAGCCATGCCGGTTGTCCCCAAGAAGCGGCTGAAACCTCAGAGAGCACACTCGCATAGTCCGGGAAAGTTGTGCACTCGTCAAGGCCTGCCGCATCAGTCAGCTTGTCGCCATACTGCTTAACTCCATAATGTACAGCAGGTCAAAGTGGGTCTCATCCAAAATAAGTGGATGCTATTTTGTCAGCGCAGCACTTCCTCGCTTACTCTTCTCGAGGCTTCCAGAAACTGAGGGGTACTGTAGCATTCTCTTTCTGCCCGAGGATAACCCAGTACTTCGCGAGAAGGAGGCAGGGAGGAGTCATGCTGGCGAAAAGCACACGCATAGCTGGACACTGCAACCAAAGTGCTGTTACAGCGGGTGCACGTTCCAACTCTGGCATGGGCTTTGATTAACTTTGATTGATCAGAAGAAGCCGTCTCAATCCTCATGCGTTGCTCATCGAGGAGCTGCTAGTTTTTCATTTAGCATGTGGCAAGACCGAACAGTTGGGAGGCGGACCTTGTTCTACTTGGACCATTATCGATTCCAGTACAAGTTTCGACGTGAGCATCTCGACCGGCGCAAGTACCAGGAGCTTTCAGTTGTCAGCTTGGGTTGGTCGTTTGCGTCATTCGGCGCCTGAAGAAAATTTGCATTTTGATATGGTAGGCTGCTGCACTTCCTTCCTCTTCTCCAAGTGTTTCAGCTTGCCTGCGAAGATTCGTGGCTTTCAATATTTGCAGCGTCGACTCTGTCTCGACGGCCTGCCTCTTCAGCCAGGAGCCCATTTACGTTGAGAACTACTCGACGCCGGAGTTTCGACACTCCTGCACGCTTTGACATGGCAAATCTCGTGAGGTTGCTCAAGACCGAGTCCAGATAATGCTCAGCTCCCACAGAGCTTCAACTGCCGCCGGGCATTCCTCAACTTGGCTCAAAGTTCTAGCGGCTAGCGCCTGGAACGGCCTTGTGCAGCCAGACTGAGCCTGGCGCTGTGGAGTGCAGGGAGACCTCCCCTGCCACGAGAAACACCCGGCTCTGTCTCTGCTCTCTCTTTCTCCCCTCGGCTGTCTCGCTCCTGGTCTCTTTTTGATATATTCCTGCCAGGTTATCCAGGATTTTGGCCGGGAAAGTTCGGCTATCCTCAAACCCGGGTCTGGCACCCAGAAGTGTCATCGTGGGCTCGTTTTGGCAGGAGCTAAGCTGAATATGTCCTGGACGGTCAGAACCTGGCAGGTGAGCGTGGAGGCTGCCCCACTTCTGGACGCTGGGCAAGGCAGAGAACCCTCCCTCCCCCGAGTTTGGATCCGAATTCAAAGCCAAACATAACGTCATAACGTGAGAATCAGCAGTGAAGCACTCGAGCACTGCTCCTGGGGCATCGCTTGTGCAGGTGAAGCGAGCAGTGCCCCGAAAGGGCCCAGGATAATGCCAGCGGCACGGTCTGGGCCGCACAGCATCGAGTAGCAAAAGTGTGCATCAGGAAGCAGTTCTGATGACCAGATGGCACTCCAGTTGGCTACTACATCAATACTTCAGCTATTTGGGTTAGGAAGATACCTAGCATCATGGATTCAAAAAACTTCAGGAGTGGAACAGTATTCGCTTGTCAGCAACATCTGCCAGCTTTGGTCAGGCGGCCCAGCTGGCACGGAAGTTTCACACGTCGAAAGGTTCGCTGACCCTAACCAGCAAAATATTGGTGCAGGTGTGCCATGCCAAGAAATTGGCGTATGGAGGTCCAGTTGGGAAGGAACGGATGTTGATGTTGTTGTTGTTGCTGTTGGTGTTCTTGCTTTATGTTGCTGTTCTGCTTTGCAGCTTAAGCCCCGGCAAAGCAGCAAGTGAGTGAACGGCCAGTCCGGGCCCAAACAGCAACCCTCCTCCCCGCACGCAGCAAACACAGCGTGTTTTTGTTGCTGTTGGTGCGGGCGGGCGTCTGTGTGTCTGTGTGTCTGTGTGTCTGTGTGTCTGTGTGTCTGTGTGTGTGTGTGTGTGTGTGTGTGTCTGTGTGTCTGTGTGTCTGTGTGTCTGTCTGTGTGTCTGTGTGTGTGTGTCTCTGTGTGTGTGTGTGTGTGCGCTTTTCGTGGCTGTGTTCTGCTCAAGACCGGTAAGAGTTTGTTTTCGCTGCTGATGCATTTAGCTGTTGCTGCGTGGAGGTGGTTGTTGCTATTGCTGCCTGGAAGGGGGGGTGTTAGTTGGTTTTTGCTCTTTGTGCGGGGGGTGCGTAGCAAAAATGCAACAACAGCAAAAAAGCATCAGCAGCAAAACAAACGCTCCTACCCACATGGGACCCCACTTCCAGATGGCCTAGTCGCAGCAGCCGTTTTGCTCAGTTCCAGGCGATTCGCCGTTGGGAAATACGCTGAGTAGGCAGACCGTCGACAAAGCCTCATCAGCCCTATTTCACATTGGATTGGAAGGCTAAGCCACAAGGCACATGCTGATTTGTACTCGGTGCTGTGTGAAGCCTGACCGTAAAACGCTTCAAGCCAGCATCTTCACTGACGTCGAATCACTCTACAGTGGTTGGACAGATGTGAGCTCATGTACACGTGCATAGCCGCCATAGCCTCGCACTCAGATGTCGCACTCCCCCCACCACCCCCAGGTTTCACCGTCCGTAAGACCCTCGGAGAACTCCTTGCGGCTGGGACAAGCAATCTTCCGGCTTGGTTGAGGCAGGACGTGAGAGATCACAATCAGAGAGGTGAGAATTGCTTGCAAGGGACTGGTGTACATGTTGCAACGTGTGGCAGTGTCGCATTGAGCTTTGTGTGCCTCCAGGCTTCCCCATGCAGCGGCATGTCGATGGACTTGCAAGCCAACCCAGCCGCTTGGATCTGATCTCACGCATGAGCGAGCCCAGGCGAGACGACCATAAGGAACACAGACTTCAAGCATCCGGCTAATGCATTCCTAGGCCCGCCGGATGATTGACCGGGGCTTCTGCCTGACTGGCTCAGGTCAATGAGATCCTTTACGTGAGCTTTAACCAGGCCAGTGCTTGCGCCCAATCCATGTAATTTGCACGACAGTATGCACGCTCAAGTTATCCTTCGTGTCTCCGCACTTTACCGAAACTTGCCTGCCTCCGGCGCTTGTGCGAGAACACTGTGAATTTGTTGTCTCTCAGCTGTGACACTGGCTGGGTCGAGAGGATTTCACCTGCTTCGTCTGCGGTACCGAGAGCGGATTCCGTGTCTACAGCGCGGACGGGGCCTGATGCATCCATGCTACTGCCAAGAACACCAGCATTCAACGCGCTCCGTCCTTCCCAACGACCTCAGAACCTCACCTTATTTAGGCACGACGTCGTAAACCCAATTGACCATGCACTGATCATGGACTGGCAGCTACTGCGCCCGCACTTTCAGGACCCTTTCCACCTGACTTTCAGAAGAGATTTCGAGGAGCCTCAGCGATGTTGAGTTCACAACTTCGTCGAAGCCGAAGCACTGATTCCACGAGTACAAAGACACACACACACACACACACACACACACACACACACACACACACACACACGCACACACACTTGTGTAACGGAGCCATATGTGGAGCCCCGCATTGCGTGCCAAGCTACGCGCAGGATGGCAGCGGCCTGGGAGTCGTTTGTATGCTGGTGGCCTGGCGCACTTGTCGGCTTGCACGCGCTGTTAGCCGAATTTAGTCGCACAGGTAGCTGTTAGTCGGGTTTACCGTACTTTCGGCTCTCTTGAGAACGGTGAAGCCTTGACGATGCTTAACTCACCGGTGGCAAAGGTCCGCCAGCAAATGCCATGTTCGTGATTTGGAGAGCGGCCATTGTCGGTCTGTTGGTAGGTACATATGCACATCTTGGTGAACCTGAGTGCAAAGAAGCAGAGCAGATCGGGCTTCTTCAATACCAGAAAGCCGAAGATGTTCAGGGGCCCCGCTGCCCTCTGAGTGTCTTGAACTCTGGGGATTGTATTGGAGACGGCGCATGCCTGCGCTGTGAGCCTTCAGCAGACGGGATGAAGATCCCGACGAACGACAGCAACGGCTTTCCCAGCGGATTTCTTTACTGTTTCAACGACCCGCCCCCGATCAACGAGGCTGCAACCTGCACCATCGAACGGAACAATATCAATTCCTACTCTTTCCAGAACTCGAATGATTACCTAAACTGTACGGGACCCTCCGCCTGTTTCGGCTTCCGACTAAGAGACTTCTCGGCTTTGTGTTGCGATGGGAACCAAGCGTGCCGGAACGATGACCGCCTTGTTTTACCCAACGAGTTCCGCCTCGTCAAAGGGAATCCAAACTGTGACCAGGACGTTTGTTGCCGAGGCATCAGCTCCTGCAGTAATGGAGCCATCATTTCCGGAGCCCGCTCAGCGGCTTGTCGCAGTTTCAACGCCTGCGAGGAGGCCAATATGTCTCTCTCCAAGGACTTGTTCTGTTCTCGCCCCGTCGCATGTCGTCGAGGCAACTTCAGCTTCTCCGGAGGCGGGTCTCACTGCGTCCAATGCCTGGATGCCGGCAGTCCCAGAGAACCCTTCGCACAGCCCTGCGAAGAGAGCCGGATGTCCTTCAACGCTGGCAACGCAGAGCTGCAATGTGCTAGAAATACTTGCAACAATTCGGTCATCTCATTGAGCGGGTCAGCATGTATCCACATCCGGTGCGAGGACAGTATAAGTTGTGGCGGCATGGCCGTCAATGACGACTCAAGCAGCAACTCCTGCTTCTGCACTGGTCCTGGATGCAGCAATTTGGTGGGGACCTTGACTTGCAATGAACCGTCGACGGGTTCCCCATGTGGCGAGAGCATCTGCAAGAGCGATGGAACTCCATCGGCTTTCTGCGACCGAGGCTTGGCAGATCCGCCTGATTGCTCCTCGTGCGCCACGGGGGGTGGCATGCATGGCGATCCACACATCTCCACTTTGGATGGACGCAACTACATCGTGCGAGCTCAAGGGAACTTTCTACTCTGGGGCTTTTCCGGATTGGATGCCGAAGTTCCTTCAGAGAAGGGCCTAATGAAAAACATTCCACTGGATTTCCGAATCTATGCCAACTACGCAGGCCAAGGGTCCTGGGCAAAGGGAATTCTGTTGGTTGACCACTCCGGCGTCACAGAGCCGCGCAAGGCTTTGGAATTCACGTCCCAGGACTGCGCCTGGAAGACCAAAACGGAGCTTGACAGCTGGCAAACCTTGAAATTGAAGAAGGATGACACCGGCTTCCTCCAGAATCTAGTGGATGCTGACGGTGCCATCTTTGGTGCTTTCAAAGTTACGAAGTCTGCGAAAGGAGCTCCAGCCACCTTCCTGCACAGCGTGCAGCTGTTTATGGGCACAAAAAGCGGATTGACAAAAATTGCGCAGCTATGGGTAACATGCAGGGCAGGTAATCACCTCGCAGCCAAGCTGAAAATGTCGAATGTGGTGCAGAATCGCTTCGTCAAGGGAGAACTGGCTCTTACCGGCCACTCTTCTCTGGTGACAGGTTCCAAGAAAGGCAGAGGAGTGAGCCTCGCGACGTCAGACATGGAGTTTGCAGAGCACTCAGGCTGGAGGAATCTGGGCGGAAGTGAGACAGCCGCAACCTATTTGTCATCGATGCAACAAGTTGCACAACTGAGTTTGGCAGCTGTGAATCGCTGCACCGCCGAAGAGAGGACCGCTGCTCTGAAGATGTGCCAAAAGCACTTAGCCAAATCAGGAAATACCGCAGCACAAGATAATTTCTTGGCTGACTGTGCCTTCGACATTTGTGCCGGTGGCGGTGAGGCTGCCGCCCAGCTTGCAGCAGACCTGCTCAACTTTGGCGAGTAAGAAGTAGCCGATTGGTTGTGCCTTCGACATATTTGTGTGCCGGGCGGTGAAATTGCCGCCCAGCTTGTGCCAGATCTGCTTAAGTTTGGAGCAGAATGTAAAGAAAGTTCTAATTCGCAGAAGCCGATTGTGTTTTCGACATGCGCGCCGGTGGCGGTGAGATTGCTGCCCCGCTTGCTGCAGAAAGTGCTTAAGTGCTGCCTTCTTTGCCTCAAGGCCTTCTCCGTGGTGTGAAGTCAACAGCGATGTAAGTTGTCTGTGAGATGTGTGAGGCACTGTTGACCGTGGTTCAGGGGTCCGTGCTGTACTGCTCGGAGCCTGCACTTCCCGATGCAGCTTCTCACTTCCGTCGCCTCTGCCAGTTTCGGACGAACATCTTGGCCTTCTCGGGGGGCGGAAAGAACCCGCGATTTCAACCCAACAAGGCCGGGTCGCTGCGGACATTGGAATGTTGGGATCTGAAGTTCTTTTCGTGGCCGTTGGAGGTCGTCCTGTGGGATGATCGACACACCCGGGTCATGGCTGAGCTCAGCTTCAAAACGACTGTGAAGTCTGTGAGGCCGGGTCAGTTTGTCAGGAGCTTCCCAAAGATGCTTGCAGCCGTGATTGTGTGAATGTGTGGGCAGCAGGCAGGTTTAGTCATCGGGATGCCGTTCCCTCGACGAAACATGTAGGCAAGCATGCCGCCGGGCATGGAGTCTCGGCTCGCGGGAAAAACGACCCGTCAGGCTGCGACGCGACCTGGTTGTTGTGGCCACCCTGAACAAGGCCAGACATTTCGACGGTAACTGGGCCTGGCACCAAACGACTCCCAAACGTTAGAAGCTAGTTCCAGTGTGACAGCAAGGGCTGGTTCAGGTTGCAAAGGGCCCGGGTTCCTTCAGACAAATCGAAGCATGGAAGTGGAGTCCTTGGGGGCCGGGGGGGTTCTGCCTTCACTGCCCCAGCCTCAGGTGTGGGTATATGGCTTAAAGACTTTGAGCCTCATGGACTCAATCGAGACCACAGACAACCCAAAGGGCCAGGGCCTTGCACGCTGCAGTTCCCACATCACGACACACTGATGCTCTGGGCCTGAGAGTTGGTTCGTTTTCCCGAGGTTTGTGCTATCTTTCGTCTGGAGATCGCATCGTGCTGATCTGTCCTGGCAGACAGCAGGTGCAAGCTAGAGAGCAGGGAGTCGTGCATCAAGCCACTGAGCTAGTTTGATCACGAGTCACTAGCCATGCTATAGAAGTGTATTGGCAGCGGTGTGTGGAAAAGTCGAGTTTCGATTTCACACGCGAGACTCTTGTCTGCCAGGGCAGTGCGCTGGTGGTGTTCTACCCTGAGAACTACGGAGACCCGTCCGCTCTGGACTCAGCATGCAGCATGCTGCTTCTCTTGGCAGAACAGAACTCAAACCCCAGCATGGGGTTGGTGGCATGATTGCTATTTCTGTGGCATGCTCGAAGCGGACGTCCTCGTCGTAAAGCGTGTTGCCTGGACCCAGGCACCGGGGGAGAGGGAGCGAACCGTCATCAAGGCTGCTCACGAGACTTGGCGCTTGATCCGTTGATTTAAAATTGAACCCGGCTCGCTCGCAGCCGATGATCTCCTGAGGACTCGCCCATTGCCGCCATCGCGTTGGATGCAAGCTGCCCGAGCCCCGCTCGCTTGCTGTTTGCACATCTGCGATGCTCTCTCGAGTCTCTGCAACCACTGCGACCACCAGGCTCCCTCATTGCGACGGCATCAGAGAAGGGAACGATTGTTCGGGTGCACGCCGTCGGCTCAGCCTTGTTACCATCAGAAATGCCTCACAACAGCGGCATGCCGACTGTTCCAGAACCCACATTGTGTTCTCAAGCCCCTTGAGATCCTCAATTCTCAAGCTGGTGCAGGGATTCAGCTGTTGTGGGAGGATCCTTACCTGCTCATGGCCCGACTGGCCCTTCCCTCAAAGGAGTTGCAGCGCGACGGCTTGGCGCAGGCACAGTGCTGGCGTTGAGAAGCCCTTCTCCAGAGAAGGGTCGGGTCTGCTGGTCTACTGGGCGTTCAAGTGCGAACGAAAGGTTTTGCTGTAAAGCTCAGTTTTTCAAATCTTTGCATCAAGGTTTTTCCCGTGAGTCACGCTGCAAAGGCCACATCGCCGACAGGTAAACCGCCGCACTGAGCACTGAGAATTGGTTAGTGCTTGGAGCATCAAAGAGTCAGCCGAAGGAACTGCGAAGAGGCTTGGACAGAGCAGAGGCGGGGGGAGCACTCTCGGGAGTGTTTCGATGCTCCAGGCATTGCCCAAACATGCCATCTGCGAAGAAAGCTTTTGCAAGGAGCCTCTGGTATGAACAGTGATCTATCAGTGAGGCTCGCACTTGAAGAATCGCAGCGGTCTTAACAAATTTCAAGCTGTGCGAGAAATCACTTCCTGCAACGGCAAGGGTGGCGATAAATAGTACTGTGATGTACTGTGCAAGAAACAGAGTCGTTTGAGAGGACACTTGTTGTACATTACCGTGAGTTTCTCAACAGGCCAATATCCTAGACTCGTAGAATGCCCTCTCAAGCAGAGGACGCACGCCGTTCTCTGCCCTAACCACATCTTGTTTGCAGATCCACTCGCTCACCTTCTCTCCGTCAGGCTTGGGCCGCATGTGCCTGTTTCTTTGGACTTCGCAGGGCGATGGGGTACTGGGGCTTGATTGGCAAACTTGAGTAGCTGGGGTCGCGGCTCCATCAGAGCAAGTCCGAGGCCGCGCGATGTGGACAAACAGCATCCATCAATAGCAGGTTTCAATAACACCCCAAGATGTGGACGTGGACAGTTGCATAAGGTCAACAAGCCGCAAGCATCCAACCGCATGCAACTGCTCGCAGTCACGAATCAAGAACATCCCCCCGGATCCTCGAACACTCTTTGCGCCTTTGCGCCTTTGCTCGGCGGATGGTAGAGGCGAGTATTTGGCCGCCTCCTCGGACAAGGGAACGGTGCACATCTTCGCCATTCAGCGGCCAGGAGGCCTACGCTCATGAGCGTCCACCGATCTGTTTCAGTTTGTGCGTGGGCGCCGGTGGCTCTTGCATCACAGGCGGCACTTCTGCGGCCTTTGGCTACAGCGCGGAGGCCTGCCAGCAGCTCCAACTCTATTTCAAGCTACTCTCCCTCCTGGTAGCAACTGCAACTTGCAACACCTGTAATGAGGAGTGTGCAGGGTCAGGGAGGTGAGTGAGATCAATGGCGGTGGAGGTGGTGGAGGTGTGGAGGAGGTGGAGGAGGTGGAGGAGGAGGTGGAGGTGGTGGTGGTGGTGGGAGCAGCCTTAGCAGCAGCTGTCGCAGCAGGTAATGTTCTTCGTGTTGTTGTTCACGATTTTTCGAGGTTCTGGCCAACATTGTGCCGACGTCTCCTCAATTTCCATTTGTTTATGTCTCTGTCTGTTGTTGTGGTGCTGTTGTTTCGGGTGTGTTGGTTGTTGCTACTTCTGTGTTTTGCGTCTGGCTTATGATCGCGCCAGGTGTCGTTACCTCAGTAGCTCCTGGTAAGGACTTCCTGGTGAGGATTGCTGATGGTAGTGTTGACAAACATTGATGGTGGTTGTGGCACTGCCTTCGATGAAATGGTGACTTTGATGAGAATGATTCCGAATCATATTATGTGGAATAAGCCTTGAATCCGTCACCTTGTCGATCGCACCGGTAACTTTTTCAGCAGAGGCTGGAACCTCCAATGCGAAGTCCAGCCTGCAGAGACTGTTGGGGCCTGATCTGCTTTTCTTCCAATACTATGCGAGCAGTCAGAGGAATCACGTTTTTGGTCATGTTGAGGCCTTCTGTTGTCTCAGTATTGGCATCGAGAAGCGTCACATTGTCCATCCACCGAAATAGCCACAAAGACTCTCACCCTGCTTGGCTTTCTGAGGTCGCGGGTTTTGCCTGTGATGCCTGCCGGTTTGACAAGTGGAATCAGTTGCAATTGATTTCCGATTGTTGACAGCCCTTGCCTGCAAGACCGCGACTGCACATAGATGGCAGGCCTATTTCTCCTCGGAGTGGAGTCTGGCGCAGTCTGGCGCTAAGTTTCTGGAGTCGAGCCGTGTGAATTCCAAGTGCGCTTCCGTCCTGAAGTGTGCTGAAAGTGAAGAGCTGGAACAACGTCATTAGAAGGGTGGCTGTCCTTGCATGCTGCTGCGACTCATACGATCGTGCAAGAGTGGTCATGGTCTTGAAACTGTGCGAAGCTTGAGGGTCAAGGAGCTATTTCCGGTGACACTGCAATTTCAATCAACGTCCCATTGCATTGCTGCCCTCGAGTCCGCCTGTGGCACCGTCATTCTGGTGCTTGTAGGGCCGACCACAGCTTCAATGTTGCAAGCCGGCAAATAACCTCGGATTGTTGTGTGAAAGTTTCCTAAGACTTGACAGGCCGAGGAGAGGGAACATAGGAGCTGATAGGACTCACGCTCCTCTTGGGACCAACGCCTGGATGCTCTGCATCTGCCTGCATTGGGATCTTCCGGTGCCTAGGTTTCGCGTCCACGACTACCGCTACATTGCAGCCTTTGGTGTTGATCCACACACAGCGCGGGCCCTTGCTTTGAAGCCTTCTGTCCACACTGTGCTGTTGAGAATCGAGAAGAAACGATTCTTGAGGTAATTGACTGCTTAGATTGAGCACTGCAGTTGGCATTGGTCTTCTCGCCGCCGTCTTTCCAAGAGAGTCTGCTGAATCCGCGGCAATGGTCGCGTTTCGTCCAAGTCTGCAATCTGCTAGCTCAGCTCGGCGATATGTCCATGCCGTCTCTTCTCAAGAGACCTTTGATATGACTCGGTTCTCGTCCTACTAGCACGGCACCTATGCTGTTCTCTGTGAATATTCATGACTTTCTTTCCATTGAGTTCACAGAAAATCAGGTCATCATCGTGTGTGCAAACGGCTCCTACTACAAGGCACCGTGGAGGGTCTTCCAAAGCAACATCTACACGCCTGGACAGGCAAGCAGTGGGTTTTAACGCTCACTCGTTTGGGTGTGCTTCCCGAAGCCATATCCGAAAGGAGAACCCGAATTCGCAGCTTCTCATGCAGCACCACTCAAGTCTAGTCTGCCTTCGCATCGCCAGGCGCGCTTTGACCCTGTGAAGGGGGGCGAGATGGTGCGCGAGGACAGATTGCAGGCTTTCTGAGAACAACAGGCAGAAGCAGAGAAGATAGAGAAGCAACGCAGCCTCAAGAGCCCTAATCTCTTGAGCGCTCTGAAGAGCCTCGAGGAGTACCACCAGTTTGATGACGCCTCTGCCGGCGGCGGCGCTGCCGCTAAGGCCCGAGAGCCAGCAGAGCCGGAGGCGGAGCCGAGCCAGACACCGAAGGGCAGATTGCAACGGCTGTTCCACGGTAGCCGAAGCACAAGTTCGGGGAGCCGAAGCTGGACATCCTGCTGCACAAGAGACTTCTGTAAACGTCGGGTATGCTGTAGAAGCAAGGACCTTTACAAGGGAGGCTCCACGTGCAATCGCCACATGAATTTGTCCCAGTGTTGTTGTGTCTTCAAGTCACCTGCGAGTCCCAGATCGTGTAGCATGCTATAGGCTACAAGATATAACCTGTGCTAGCTGCTCCTTGTGATCCTGGTGTGATGCAAAGGCCTGCAGGCATTTTTTGCCGTGTAAGCCATTGAGAAAGGCAGGCATCCTACTATGCTATCAGCAGCCAAATGCCGGTTCAAATTCAGTGGAGCATTGGCTCCCGATTGCGTGCTGGAATCTCTAAGATGCGCTGTGTCGCCACTCAGTATCGATCTATCTTCGGGTGACCCTCCGATGACCCTCGCTGAGAAATTGAGACAGATAGCCATGCTGTTTACGATAGCTGCTAGCTGCGACTTGGTGTTCTTACACTTGGGGGGGGACCCTGTGGGGGACCCTCCCATGGATTTTGTTCATCATTTGAGTTCGAAGTGCCTTAGGGCTTCCTAAGTGCGTGTCAAGACTTCATTTCGACCGATGCTTAGTCCGGTTTCTTGAAAAGTCTGTGACACAACTGCTGTGATTTGTGAACACATATATTGTGCTGTGGCTAGGCACTAAGAGCCCCCATATGCCAAGTCTCGGACTGAACTTAGAGTACGATCTGGGCCGATGCGGTCCGGATCGAGAAGTGGCTGATCAGTCTTGTAGGAGTGGGTAAGTCGTAGTTCATCCTGCCACGCATATGTATATATATATATATATATATATATACATATATATATATATATATATGTATACATATGCAAAGCATCGGGCTGCTTTCACTAGTAAGCCTTTGGTCATTCCTCATGAATGCGTCTGCCACTGCTGGCAACACCACAATTCCTGAGCCAGGTCGCACAAGAATCGAGTGGTGCTCGAGGCAGCCAGCCGGGTTTTCCCAGATATGGTTAATCGAGAGCTTTGAGGCCAAGAATGTTTCGGCACAAAAAGCAGAGAACTCAGAGTGCCCAGCTTGAAGCTTGATGTGACGGCTGTTCAGGAAAAGTTTCGGTCTCATGCTTGCAGATTTGTTTTCCCAGAACTTCATCCTTCCACCGCGGCTTTCCTTTGCAGTCTGCACGACATGCCAGAACCTTTGTCCGCAGGTTCAGCGAGTGAATCATGACCCGTTGCACACACACACAACGCTGTCCAAAGCCTCATGCGGGACTTGCGTGTGCAGGCACTCGTGACGGTGCTGCTTAGTCGTTGGGATCTCTGTTTTCTCGACCGGCGATTGTACAGAACCGGCAGCTTGCCCACGTCGAGCCTTGGCGGGCGAACCCTGCATCTGTCAAGTGCTTTATGTGGAAGGGACAGACCGTGGGGCTGTTCTAATCTTGCAGAGGCTAAGGACTCAAGAGAAAAGGAGCGCTGACCGAGCTCGATCCCGATTGCTCCAGGCCCCGGAACCATCAAGAGTATGATCCCATGTTTGTCATAGGGTGTTTTCTAGAGTATCAGAGTCGAAAATGGGAGAGCGGAAATAGCGCTGGCTGAAGAATTTCCAGCAACTGAATCTAGCTTCCCCAAGCGTGTGCAGCCAGCGTCGCACCCACTTCCGCTCAAACCTGTGAGGATGGCTGCGAAACAAGTGCGGCAGGCTAACGTGGACGAATCAAAGACATCACGCTCTGACAGACCTTGCTGCTTCTGGCAATTTAATTACCGACCTGAGACGAGCGGAACTGCTCTGTTATCCTGAACTCAGCAGCTTATCTAACATCTAACTTTAAATGTTAAGAAAAACCAGGCGAAGTGAAGAAAGTGCCAGCCAGCCACAGAAGTCAAGATGTTTTGCACGGATTTGGATCAAACCCTGGTCTTCCGGCACCACTTGCCCCGCTCGGCCGGAGTTTTCGACCGGCAGAACGAGGAGTTGCGTGGTTTCACTCGTCTTCACGCTCGGCAGGCTTCGGCTCGCACGCCTGCGCACAAGTGAGACCGATGCGGTGCCGCCTCGGCTGGCCCAAAGCCGCCATAGCCTGACATGTGAGGGCACCAGCAGCCTTGCGACCTTGACGCCCCCGTCACGGTCGGCCGGAAAATCCAAAAGACTTTAACAGACGTCAACCGTAAACAGGCCCTCGACAGCTCCGCACATACCCCGAGTTCAAGCTCGGAAGGTGTGGCCTGGTTGCCCAAAAAAGTTATGTTGGTCAGACTGGCACTGCTTGTTGCGGTTCGCTCCGGGACGCCGTGGAGGTGCGACGGAGCTCGAACTGCCGGTGTCGCCTTTCGACGTTAGCCGTTGGTGGACCCGCCGTCATTGACATGTGTACCGGGGCACGACCAGAATGCGGCATATCGCGGAAAGGTGATGCAAGTGACAGTTAGACCCAGCCCAGACCCAAGAAAGTGTGGACCTCCCAGCTGTTTCAGTTGGCTGTACATGCATGTTCTTGAACGACGATGTGTCATGGCCTTTAAAGCGAGACACGACTGTCGGATCACCAGCAACTTCGATCCGAATGGTGTCCCGAGTGAGGTCGTTCGAACTCGAAGGTTTTGAAGGCTCGAAAGGTGCTGGAGTTCGAAAGTTCTGTGCGCCTTGGTATGCACAAGCTCGCCGGCATCAAACTTCGAGCTCGTCAAACTTCAAACTCAAACTTCAAACTTTTGCCCCGGTCGAGTTCGATCGGCCTTCGAAGTTTGAGATTTTGAGACTTTGAAAGATTGCACTTGCGGATTCGACGGTTTCAAAGATTGAAAGTTCGCAAGTTTCAATTGTTGAAAGTTTGAAAGATCGAAACTTCGAAAATTCGCAAGTTTGAAGGTTTGGAGTTTGAAAGGTTGGCTTCAGATTCGATCTGCGGATTGTGGCTGAGGTCGCGAGTTTGAGAGTTCGAAGGTTTCAAACTTCGAAAGGTTTCAAGTTCGAAGGTTTAAATGCTTCAGAGATCGAAAGTGTGAAAGGGATGAAAGTTCGCGAGTTTGAGAGTTCGAACGATTGAAACTTTGCAAACTTGGAAGGATTGAAACACGTCGAGATGGAAAGTTCGAAAGTCCGCCGAGTTTCGAGCTCGAAAGTTTGAGAGTTTGAAGGGTCCGACATGCGGTCACGTGCATGGATGTTGTTCGCGAGCTCAATTTCATATCTTAAACGCACCCTCTCTTTTGGCGATTCCGGTTCACCGTATATCTTAAGCATCCACCCTCACTTGGCGATTCCGGTCATCACAGCGCCTCACCATATATCTTAAATTCTCCGCATGTGGCGATTCCGGCACGTCGCACATCTTAAACACACCCCTTCAGTTGGCGATCTTGAACACACCCCCTCATTTAGCGTTTTCTGTTCATCGTATTTCGCTTCCTCATTCGGTGCTTTCGGTTGATTACATAGTTTAAACACGCCTTCTCTTTTGGCGATTCCGGTTCACCGTATATCTTGAGCACGCCCCCTCATTCGGTGATTTCGGTTCATAACATATATCTTCGACACGCTCCCTCATTTGGCGGTTCCGAACATCATACCGGTTCGCCATACATCTTAAGCACACTGACACTGCTCAGCAGGCAGTAGTAGTAGTAGTAGTCGTCGTCGTCGTCGTCGTAGTCGTAGTCGTAGTCGTAGTCGTAGTCGTAGTAGTAGTCGTAGTAGTAGTCGTAGTAGTAGTCGTAGTAGTAGTAGTAGTAGTAGTAGTAGTCGTCGTAGTCGTAGTCGTAGTCGTAGTAGTCGTCGTAGTAGTAGTACTCGTCGTCGTACTAGTAGTAGCAGGGTAGTAGTAGTAGTAGTAGTAGTAGTAGTAGTAGTAGTAGTAGTAGTAGTTTGTTTCGGGCATCGGCGTGTGTCTATCGGGAGATCACACAGGACAGGGGGTACGGTTTATTACGGGCATCGTCGTGAGTATGATGTCAGCTCCAGATCACAACTTACCTTCAAACTTTCAAAATGTCAAGCATTCGAACCCCACGTCTCTCAAACTTTCAAATTTTTGAAGCCCCAAAGTTCGAAGCTTATCGAACTTTCAAACTTTGAACCTTTCGAACTTGCAAACTTTCCAACTCCCCGGGTTTCAAAGTTTGGAACTCCAAGCTCTCAAACTGTCGAACTCGAGCCTGCGGGCTGCTCTGTGAACCTCTACGCGTTCTCCAGCGGCCCTTCACCTTGCTCCCTCACGCCACCGTTGCCGCGGCTTCAAACTTCCGAGCTGGATTCCCATTCAAGCTCTTCAAACTCCAAACTCGCGCCCGCTTTCGAACTCGAAACTCTCAAATTTCAAGCTTCAAACCCTTGATTCTCCAAACTTTTCAAAGTTTGAATCACTCTCCAATCTCGTCCAACATATAGTAAGTTCAAACTCTCAAAAATTCGGGTTCCAAAAACCCCACTCGTGACACCTTTCCTTCGATCTTCAATATTGAAAAGACAACAAGGTCAAGACGGTCAAGATGATGTGTATGGTTGAAAAACGGTCTACTACGCCCCTCAGGTCACGCCTCACTTGCGGCAACTGGGAAAGGGCCGACAAATGCAATGTGCAAAACGCCTCGACCTGTATGATGCTGGGTCTGTCTGTGGGCCACGAGCTCGTTGATCCCACTCCAGCCCAGCCCTCACATAGGGCAGACGGTGAGGAAGCGTTTGTTTTCACGTCGTCACTACTGCACACCACACCGGGGCAGCAAACGACATCGGTGCCAGTCCTTGAAGCTACCCGCGGCATTGCTTCAAACGGTGCATGCCTTGCCGCGCTGCTCTGCGAAAACCTTGACCTAACCTCCGATTGCTTGCATGAGCCGGCACAGCATGGTGCAGCGCTCCCGCCACCTCCCGTTGCGGTTCGGGAGTGCGATGTATTCGCACGTCCAGTGCTGGACGTCGGCAGCACCGCCCCTCGCGGCCACTCACGACGCCGCTGCCTGCTTGCGCGCAAGGGTCTGACTTCAAGCCGCAGTGTGCGAGTTTGGAGATTTTGTTCGCGCACCTTTTTGACATCCGCTAGAACAACGGGCCCAGGAGGCTTGTGGTGGGAGGGCCTGCATCGCGCAGTGCCGTTTCGAGCGCCGGAAGCTAGGCGCCAAGCGCCAGGCATGGCTCCAGCAACGTATGGCGCTCCGAGGGGCGTGGAAGCAAGTGTAATTACTTGCAAAGACCCGTTCAACAAACCCCACCCGCAGCGCAGCATCTAGCGCAGCCAACCCTGCGTGGCGGCACCTCGCATGGTCGCAGAAGCGTACTGGGCTCGGAGCCTCACCAGTTGGCGACGAAGCGCAAGCACTCGACGCTCCAGCGGGCCGGCATCGCAGGCAAGAGCTTCTAGATGGCAAGAGCGCAGAGTCAGTGAGGGCTAGGTCGCAGCAGCTGCAGGGTATAAGCTCCACGCGTGCACCGTTGAGCGACAGCGATCTCGGCTCCATGATGCGGGCAGCAGCAGAGGCCTGGGGCCTCCTTTCTCGGGTCAAAAGGGACGTCGCAGCACGAAGCTTCGCCGAATGGTGTAGTATATGCGGCGATCGGCAGGGCTCACGCCGGTGGCAGACCACCAGCCACACATCCAACCACTGCTGCGGGACGATGAAGGCTTTCGCTATGCTTCGCTCGTCGGGCGCGCAATCCAAACCGAGGGCAATTGGTATGGCAGACACTGTACGCGTCAATATCGGCACGGCCGTCGTGTCCGTATGCGCCACATTCGTGAGAACGACAGGCAAGGCCAACCGGGCCACCGCCGATGCAGTACTATGAGCGTGCGGTCGTGGGGCAAAGCATGGCAAAGCGGAGCTTCGCTTGGGATGGGAATGAATCATGCCGCATGCAGCGTGCGACCCGGACTGCGAATGCAGCATGGCCTGGGCAAGTAGTTGCAGGGCAGACAACAAGATTAGTTTTGCGAGGCTGGCAGCTGTGGTCGGTGGTCGCCAATGACCTGCGCGCAGCCTTGCCACGTTGAGGCCGCACATCGGGCACTGGTGCTGCTGTCGCAAGTGGGGCCGCCTGTTGCGAGAGCTTTCGCTGTGTCGTCCCAAATTCGGCCCAGGTTGCTGTGCCGAAGGGGGCGCGTTTGTGTAGCGTGCGAAGCCATGACGGCAACAAGGCTGTCCGCACCCGCGGCCTTAGCAGCGGTTCACCTTGTAAGCCAAGGCTTCCGTGCCCCGGTTTGGGGCGACACCGCCTCGTTT